TCGTTCTACGTAACCGTGTCAAGCGGGAAAAGGATGAACGGAAGACCAGAAGATAGAACCAAGTTCCCTGGAACGTCGGGTACACCCTCGCGTGCTTCGTTCTCGTTCGAGTTCTTCGATCTTCTCTACACGAGCGAGAGGAATCCGTGATCCGTAGAAGAGAGCCACGGAAAGAAAAATGTACGACACGATCGTGTCCCGAGGTTCCATGGGGGGACAAACCTTGATGACGAATATCGGCGTAACTCGTGAGAAAGAACCGACTTGACTTATTCAGAGACAACGACACAACGCATTATAAAGTAATAATGATAACTTAACGTTAAATCAACGTACTATTGTTATGATCTCTTACGCTAACGTCGAGGGTGATCTCGACGACGATCGTGTCGCGTTAATGTACGCACGTTTTTTTCCAATGCGTTCGCGAAACAAAAGAAAAGAAAAAGAAATTTGGGGAAAAAAAAGGAGAGGAAGAAGCAACAAAGTATGAGCTAAAAGCGTTGCAAAAAGAAAAGAAAAAAAGAACGGTAAATGTTAGGCGATAATCGAGAGAATACAGTGCAGTTCAAATATGTACATCTACACACGCACACACATACACACACACACACACAAACGTGCACACGAGAAAATTTCGAGAAAGAAAAAAAACAAAGGAGAAAGTGGTGTGATAAAAGTGAAAAAAGGTAAAAACAGGAGAAAAACCACGATGTTAAGTAAGTAGTCGTTAGCTTTGTATACAAGGGAGGGGGGGGGGAAGGAGGGGGATGCCGACGAAAGTGAAGACGACGTTAAAGGGAAAGAGAAAGGGAGAAATTTCGATAAAACCGGCGTGTTCCGAGGCGAGAGACAACACCACTCGAAGCGACTTTTTTCAAACAACGGCTGTCGAATAGTTTCGACGAGAGATCTTTCGAGCGGACTTGTGCGATTTTTTGGATAGGAATTCCGTGAACACGGTACTCGGCTGTCGCTCGATCCTGGAAAGGATCCATCGATCCATCGCGTTAATCCCGTTAATCACTGGAACACGCCACGAAGAAACAGGCGTATTCTTCTCAGCAAACTGCTTTTCGCGTTGACGGTGAAAAGCGTCTGAATAATTTAGCGAGTCGAAGCGACTCCCCGGCTCTAAAATTGGATCTCTCGGTGTCGCTGGAGGAATTCTTCCTTCAGAAATGGAATTAAAAATGTGAATCGACCATGGAACGAGCGCGCGGCATGAAAAAAAAAAAAAAAGAAAAGAGAAAGGAAGAAAAGGGCGCGTTCCTTTTTTTCTCTTCTTTTCTTTTCCGATCTCCTATTCCCCGGCGATTCGAGCAGCAGCCTGTTTCATCGTGTTACGACGTAGATCACACCTGCACCGTGCCCGGTAAATCTTCATAAATTCGTTGAATCGAGAAGCAATACTATAGATGCCTATAATTATTAATGTTATGCGTTTCTTATGCAACAAAGTTGAAGAAGAAAACAATTAGTGACAAAATGGCGTCTCGCGTACACAAGCGCGTCCAGACACTGTATATGTACTTAAGAATCGGAGTACCTACGTATACATACACACACACAGACACAGACACACACACACACACAGCCACACAGACTAACGCACGCACGCACGCACCGCGCGATGGCGAAACGAAACGTCGACTGGCTCAACGTGCTAACGTGCTCCGACGACGTTTCTCATACGCGATCGCGCGATTAAAGGAACAAACGAAAGGGAAAGAAAGAGACAAAAAAAAGAGAAATATGGAAACACGTCACTCTCAACTTCGAACTCCGAAGCCGAACACGTAAATTGCGACGCGTACACATACGTTCACATCGATATCTCTGTGTAATTTTATATCTCGACGTTCGAAGATGCGAAGCGATTTTTAGCTGCATGCAATGACCAATAATTATTGTAATCGTTAAATCGTGTAGGACTGCACGGAAAATATAGAGAACCGATGTACAAAAAAAAAAAAAAAAAAAACAGAAAAAAGAACAAAAAAAGAACAGGCGGCTAGATGTTGAAGAGGAAAAAATAAAGAAATGATCGAGATGAATAGAAACAAAAGAAAAGGGCATACCGGGGTCTTTCGAATGCCCAAAAATCGCACGAAGCTTGCTCGGCAGATGAGAAAAGAAAAGCAGATTTGCGAGAAACGTGCATTAACAAAGAGAAGGAAATAATAACAGATCTCTTGTATGAGTCGTAGAGTACTTAGCGAATAGTGGAAAACACGATCGTTGAGCATGAAATATTGTGTAATATTCGAGGAAGAAAAGAGCAAGTAACGCCGGATAAGTCGATGATGATAATATTATATATTGTTGTTAGATTATGTATAATATATATATGTGTATATATATATATATATATACATATATATATACACACATAAACATTGATATAAAAATAAAGTAACCTAGATATTAAGCGACCACTTATTTACACGTTACATGAACACGTAAGTATACACACACATGCCTGTGCACGTGAAAATTAACCCTTTATTCAGCGAATTAAACGAATTACGGTGCGAAAACATTCTTTTCAAAATCACTTTCTCACCATTTGTAGAAAGCCTCCCCAGACATTTTATTCCCCGTGTGATGATTGAAAATTTTCTATTTTTTCTTTTTTCCTTTCGTTTCTTTGACAGTGAAAATTGTGTAGACAGTGCAACTTGTAATTATTCGAACGATATACCCTTTGTTAAAGAAGTTAACCAAGCGTTTCCTGCTGTTTTTACTATAAATTAACAAGTATCTTAAATTGAAATTGTTCGAGAATTAAATAAACCTGAAAAGTCCAACAGGATTAAATGAAAAGAAAGAAATCTCGATTCTTAAAGTTGACAGCTTGCAAGTTGAGTTGAAAATGTTAAACTCACAATTCCAAAATAATCCAATTGAACGAAATTTCGAATTGTTTCACCGATTCGAACAATCACGAATGGTAGGTGAATACACCTGAAACCGAACTCGGTGATTGAACGATATATCCTTTGTTAAAAAAGCTAACCAAGCGTTCCCTGCTGTTTTTACTATAAATTAACAAGTATCTTAAATTGAAATTGTTCGAGAATTAAATAAACCTGAAAAGTCCAACAGGATTAAATGAAAAGAAAGAAATCTCGATTCTTAAAGTTGACAGCTTGCAAGTTGAGTTGAAAATGTTAAACTCACAATTCCAAAATAATCCAATTGAACGAAATTTCGAATTGTTTCACCGATTCGAACAATCACGAATGGTAGGTGAATACACCTGAAACCGAACTTGGTGATTGAACGATATATCCTTTGTTAAAAAAAGCTAACCAAGCGTTCCCTGTTGTTTTTACTATAAATTAACAAGTATCTTAAATTGAAATTGTTCGAGAATTAAATAAACCTGAAAAGTCCAACAGGATTAAATGAAAAGAAAGAAATCTCGATTCTTAAAGTTGACAGCTTGCAAGTTGAGTTGAAAATGTTCCAAAATAATTCAATTGAACGAAATTTCGAATTGTTTCACCGATTCGAACAATCACGAATGGTAGGTGAGTACACCTGAAACCGAACTCGGTGACAGTGAAATTAAAACAGGCAAAGCGTTTACACGTGCCAAATAAAAGGTTAATAAAAGGCGAAGGTTACAGACTACAGGCACCGTTTACACACACACACACAAGCAGGGACACGACACGATACGACACGACAGGACACACAATTTTGTAGCTGTACCCGTGAGCATCCCCCGTCAAACCCACCCCTGGGCATGGTCTCGGCTCTTGGTTACGCGTAAAAAATGCATAGAGTCCTACATTCGCTATTCGTCCCTCCTCTTGACCCTTGAAACGACGGCAAAAAAGGAAAAAAAAAAGGAAAGAAAGGCAAAGAAAAGAGAAAACGAGAGGAAAAGACGGGAAATGCGATTCAAGGCCTTCTGCTGGTCTTCTGCGTCCCTCGTCGATCTCTTTGCACGATAGAAAGAAAGGTGCATAGAAATTTCAAGTGTCAAGCTGGAGGCGACGTATGGCCACGAATCAGTCTAAAGCTTGAAACGAAACGTATAACGAAGCGGGGATAAAATCAAAAAAAAAAAAAAAAAGCGAGAAAAGAGAAGGATAATCGAGCTTTCCTCTTCCTACGTTGTACGAGAGATTCGCGGCGTTTCTTTTGGCTTTCACGGCGGGAGAGATGAAACACAAAATGCGAGAGAAAACAAAAAGAAGGAGAAAGGAAAAGGCGAGGGTTAACAAAAGGGAAAAACAAAAAGCAAGGGAAAAAAAGAAGGAGCAAAAAGGAAAAAAAGACATGATAAAGCATGAAGACGATTTAGGGGCGCGCCTCATCGTTATAGCTCTTAATACGATAGTAATATTACGAGTAATAAACAAAAAGTGAATTAACCAGAATATGCGTTTATGTTATTTAGTTCTAAAAAAAAAAAAAAAAAAAAAAATGAAAAAAAATGTAATAAAAGTCAATCGTGTTACCAACTCGATCGTTTTGTTTATTAATCCGATCTCCTTTTATCAACGTCCTTCTCCTTCGTGTATATTATATTGTACGAGACCTTTTGTGAATGCATTATATTATGTAATATAATATATTACATATATATATATATATATATATATATATATTATATTATGTTACATGTGTTATACCGAACATTTTGAAATTTCATTGGAACTAGAATGAAATTCGTCTATCAAATCTGAAAATATACATAGAAACTCACACAGTTAAGTTGATCTTCGATATCCGTTATACATATAAAATTATCGTATAAAATCACTATCGAGTGTGCTATACACCAGTAGTAGCTACTAAATTTGATCAAGCAAATCGTCTCAATGAAATTTGAAAACGTTTCATATGACAAGTGTGTTCAAATATTTCCGCGAGCTACGTGTTAAACGGCATTTATCGCGATGACGTGGGAATTTCAAGAATTTCGACCCGGCGCATTTCGCTGTGCGTGCAATTTCGCGCTACTCCCAATTTTTCTTTCTTTTTCCTCTTTTACGCAACTTCGGCCGCCGATTTCGAAAGCGGCCAAACGACTCGTGCCACTTGCCAATATCGGTGTCGTATATCATTTTTTCCAAACAATCGTTCTTCAGTACGAATAAAAACCTCCCGGCGAAACGGTGGTGCAAACCAGCCGAAGACACTCCCGACTGTTTCGTCCACCGCGAGATGGAAAGTTCCCCGTGTCGATCCGAAAGCAACTGAATCAATCGACAAAATGAAGTATCGCCGGCAGAGCTTTATCGTTTTATTCGTTCTGTCTGGTCTGGCGACTCCTCGTTGCTCGAGCGAGGAGATAACGCTGAGGATCAACCTGGAAGAACCCGTCGCTGTGACTGATGAGAAATTTCTCAGTCTCACCATTGATCCAGTAACACTATTAGCCGGGAATGCGCTAAGGTACGTACGTTGAATTTATAACTAGCTTTTTCTACAGTGGCTAACCTTGTTCCGTGATAAACAAATTTTGAAAAAAACCGGTTTTTTGAAAAAAACTTTTCCTTTCTTTCTTTTGGCCCGCAGTAGTATTTCGCGCGCAATAACGACAGAATCGGGCCAAGAACGAGCGTGGAGCAATTTGAGATCAATTTAAAACCAATCGATAGAGCGCAAGACTTCGATAACTCGTACAGAATGAAAGAAAAAAAAAGCCATCTCTGTGACTCCGCGCGCGTATCCTTTGAACGAAACGATATCCAATCTAGCTAACGAAACGTGCGCGTGTTTTAATTTGAATTTCAAACTGTCGCGGAATTTCGTCCGATGCTCGTTCACCGCTCGGAAAAAATCCTGACGAAACTGGGCAGAAATCAATGCGATTAACCGGCGATAATCGCATTCATCGACGCAAGCAATCGGACGTGATTATTGCAATTTCAGCACGGATTTCGAGAGGAGCATAAATCTAGCGAGAGCCTTGAGCCCTGCATATTTACGGTTCGGAGGACCACGTAATTCCCTCTACTACTTTACCGATCCGAATTCTCAGGACGCCGATGACGAGAGAAAAATTGTATCCGGTGAGCTTAATCGTTATCACCCTTTAATCGTTTCTCGTTATTTGAGTAAGTCACGTATACACTAACTAACCTGTGAATGTATTTGTCTTTGGTAACACTAATCTCAAGTTTTCATGCGGTTATTTGACAAAAGAAAGAGAATGATTGAAATTAGTGTTATCATCGAGTTCGAAAGGTTCATAGCGAATTTAAGAATTCGAAGGTAATTATATTCTCAGAAAAAGTTCGAGTATTTCTTAAATTTCTGTGTTACTACGCGCGTCGCTACCATACTTTTCTTGTCTCGCTAAAATTACGAGCAATCAATTTTTCAACAATCCGCTTAAAACATATAAACTCGACTTTCACTGATATCGCTAACAACAAGTTTATGATTTTTCATTTGAAAGTAAGGATAGAAATTACCAAGAAGCAGTAAATTTATTGTTTTGCCTGCTAGCCTATCTAAATATACTTTAAATTGAGAAAATATTGCAAACTTTGGGACGAAAAACGCGCGACACGTCGTTCCAGCGCAAGAGGTTGAGAAACACACCGACTTGACAACCATTTAAAAAGATGTGACACGATCCGATTGAAATGCAAAATAGTCCACTCGAGTGGCTAATAAATTCTCCGTCGATGTATCCAGCTAACTTGACCGCGATACAGTCGATATACACACCGAACGTTATCACGGTTAATTTAGGCGGTAATGTAACGGACGACGGCCTACAAAGGATCCTACATGCATCCGTTCACTCTAAAGTTGCATTAACGACGAAGCGCCTATCACACACATCTTCCTCGGCCAATTTCGCGGCCGATGCAACACCGTGGTCAGCCAGTTGCAGAAACTGCCCGAATTAACCTAAACAATGCTTCATGCGCCGGTGCGTGTCCATATGCGAGGCGAGAGGTGTTTTGAGAAGAGAAACGAGAAGGTTTATGTACCCGCCACAGCTGTACATCCGCGCGTATATCACGTATCACACATCATCGTTATCCTAGCTCGAGCAGCGAGTAGTCTAAAGACACCTATGTGTATTTCACTCGTGGACGTACCTCGCGTTACTTTACTTCAACCACTCCCCTGTCTGATTTACGTGCAAACGTAAGGTGCGAACCGTAGCAAACGAGCTTAGTAATTTAACGTTTGGTACGTTTTTCTGCACGACGTAATCGGACACTGAAACGGCAGCAAATTCTCCTTCTCTGTTTTCCATTTGAGAGTTGAATCTGACCCAAGGGAGCAAGTTGGGCTGAACTCGGGTTGTAATTGGAAAACTGGAGGATTCTAAGAAATTTCGAACCTCCTGATGATACCTGATGATACAGTGAACTAATTGGTTCTATTAGTTCTTGCAGTAATGTTGGAACAATTTAATCTCAATCATTTGAAGAAGAAAGTAATTCGTTCTAGACTGATGGATACAACTGTGAAAATAGCTTTTACACGTTGTATTTATATATAAATTCATCAGTTTTTTTTTATTACTGTGTTTTATGTATATTATACCGATCATATTACCACACACAATATATTTTATATGTACAGTATGTTACTTTACATATACATATATTATAGCTACGCTATACAGTGAACGCAATTTTATTAATGGCAGTAGAGTAAATCTATCAACTCAGCGTACAAGTAAAATAATTAAAAAGAATTATACGAATTAAACTTGTGATCAATAGGTAATCAAACAATCTAATAGGGATACCCATAAGTAATTTCGTTTTTTTTCAAATTTAATAAACATTATACATCTGGTGACAATAATTTGAATGAAATAAAATTTTATACAGCATCAAAAAACGACATTACCCCTAACATGTCACGAGTAGTATGTCTACAAGTAGAAATCGTTTACAGAATAATTTAATCCCTTTAAAAATCGATTTGTGACTTTTCAATATCACAAAACAATCGATAATATTTCGTTCTGACTTTGTCCGCAAAGACTGTTTGTCAGAGCATTCTTTTCGTTTTAAAATGCCCATAATTAAGACATCTCATAGCACGTATTACGATCGTAGAGTCAGACTGGGTTCTGACCCATCAATGGGCGGAAAAGGCAGGATTGGATGTGATCGCCTGCATTTCGCCAGAGACTCGACAAAAGAGGTTCGAGGAGTCCGAAAATGCGAGGGAGATCATTTCTTTCAGCGATCACATGGATTTCAATGCCAACTGGCAGCTGGGATATGGTAAATTGATTCACGAGTGCCCGTCACTGATCAAAAGTCACGTTGATCAATTCCACAAATTGAAAAATAATGAAAAACTATCTCTAGCCTCGAAGAGAAAATGTCAAGCGAATCTTTGGAATGTTAAACGATAGAATTCGACGATCGACAGATCCGATTTAGAGAGAGTCCAATTGTAACTTGAAACGTCGCGTCAACTCTTGAAATCAGAAGTAATTTACAGAAAATGAAGTTGCGTGTCAAAAAATTTTATAAAAAAAAAAAAAAAATAGCAACAGGCCTCGAAATTGAGACATTTCGTTGCAAGAAACGGAATCGATCAGTCAGTGACTTTTGAAAAGTTCGTTCAATCAATGGAAAGGAGAAGATGCACTTTAACATCGATTTTCCAGAGTGCCAAATTAGATGCAATCTATCGGCTGGTGATTTAGGGAAGCAGACGGTCGGCCTGCGAAAAGTATTGGACGAATACCCGAGATACTCGAGCAGCGTCATTACTGGACCCGATGTCGTGGCTTATAACAGCGTCAAGTACCAGGAGTATCTTCGAGATTACTTCGGCGTTGCCGCGCCTGCACTCTCGGCCGTCACGTGGCATCCGTAAATTTCTCCCCTCACTCGCTAAAACACATCCGCTCTAACGTGGGAATTTTAAATCGACGATGCTCGAAATTAATTGCAGCGACTTCGACAGCGTTACTCTGGGAAACGGCGGAGCCTTCGTACATCAGGATAATTTAGAGGAAGAGAAGGAGGAGATGTTCAAAGTCATAGGTCGTTTTATAGAGAACAAACCACTATGGATTGGTGAGAGTTTCCTCTTTCTTTTTTAATTCCTTCGTATTCACCTTTTTTTTTTTTTTTTTTTTTTCAAAAGGAAAGCAAAGGAATTTAATTTAATTTCTGTTCAAATGCGTTTCAACTTTTTCAAACGTAGGGAAATTTTCATAGAAATTATGGTTAGTTATCTGTTCATATTGTGAACCTATTACATTAAAAACTCGAAAGGTGGTAGCTTGCTTCCTAAGATTGAATTAGTAATTAACTTTCACAAATATAATGTTAAAAATACATCGTTCCTAACGTACGACGAAATTAATTTTGACGAAAGCCGAGTCAAGCCCAGAAGAATGCAAAAGCTCGTTCATCGGAGCGCTCGTTTTGACTAGAAGGCTAGGAAACGCGGCGAAATTAAACGTGAACGTGTTCATGAGGCAACCGACCGACCTGACCCGACCAACTCCAGTGAGTTTCTCGGAATATCGTGAATCAAACTGCCGCGTTAAAAAGAAATCCACTAATCGGCTAATCGACGTTAAATTACACACAGGATTACTGGGTTTCTCTTCTTCACAAAACTCTCGTCGAACGAGAAGTATTCGACGCAAGGATTCAAACTGGCAACGAGAATCACGTATATCTTTATTGCCAGTGCGCGAAAGCTTCCAACAGACACGAAAGAGGATCCATCGTGATCTTTGGTGTGAATTTGAGTCCAGAGGACATCGCGATTAATTTCGAAGAGGCCGAGATCACCACTGTTCACGAGTACATTCTTTCGCCAGGTCTCGATGCTCCTAACAGAATGTTTGCCAAGTAAGTATAATAAGAAACTGTGTGTGAGAATAACAATTGTCTCGACACTATTTTGCTACGTACAGTTGCACTGTGTATTTCTCGTGTATGTTTAGAACCATTTTCTTAAACAACAAATTGCTGACTTTAACCAACAACACTATACCTGAGATACGGCCGAAGATTTTGAACGACACGAAAGGTGTGGATTTTCAATTACAATCGGGTGACATCGGTTTCTGGGTTGTTCCCGATTTAAAGGTAACAAAACATGCTCCTGTCGTTTTATTTTTTCCTATACTGAATTCGTGAAAATTTTTTACCAGTGTGTTTTCTATACGAGAAAGACTTATAATAAAAACACAAATTACTACAGAAATGTGATAAATGTTTCTATAGCGATTTGTAGATAAATTTCAAATGCTTGTCTGTAGAATCAGTGCAGAATTTTCGAGAACAAACTTTCGCGAATCAGCGTACGGACACTTGCTTATTTTGAGTTGAATACTAGAACACAGATATACTTTTATACTTGGATTAATTTTATTGTGCAATCCTGTTATGTGCACTTATTTTATAATAATACTTGAAAACAAAACTGATATTTTACGTATATATATATTTACGAAAAAATATATATATATATATAATAAATAAATAATATATATATATATTTAAAAAATTCAGTCGAAGAATTACTCGATGAATTGGACAGAAGACTTCGAAAAACGTGACCAAAATCGAAAAAAGACTTGTGGAAGAAATTAGAAGAAGCGTGGAAAGAAATTCTTTCCTGAAATATTGATAAAAGTTAATCGAAAAAATGCCACGGTTAGTTCAGGCTGTCATATCTGCACGAGGCGGATATGTCGGCGAAACAAAGATATAAGATACATAATATACTTCTTGGTGAGATTTTTGACACATAAACTGACATATGTATTCTAGATATTATACATATGGAATAAGTAGTAATTTCGTTTCATAAAATAGGAAATATTTCATCGAATATAATTGCCCGTACCTTAATTTGTCGTAGTGTCCGGTGACTTACGGTAGCGTATATATATATCAGCGAATCGTCTGATTCTTTCAGATAAAATCTTGCATGAGAAGCGACGAAACATCGAGAGCAAAACCCTCGCATAATTACAAAAACGTGGCGAACGTGAAGATGCGGGTTAAAAGATCTGTGCGTGAGCATCGAGCAGCCGCAATGAACGAAATGATGAACCGAATAAACGACGGCTCGACGTTCAAGTCAAACGTTGAGAGAGAACTCAAGAGACTGAAGAGATTCGTGAGAAGGAAGTTGGACGATTACGAGAGTAGATCGCTGTTAAATATCAGAGGATTATCCGACGAGAGGACCGGCGATGTCTCGACGCAGCCGGAGGAAAACATGCAGAATAAATTGCAGGAGTTCAAGAAGCGTCTCGCCCGTCTCAGAGGTCTGCTAACCTCGAGCGACACGAGGATCGAATTGAGGAAACCGATTGCCGACCTCGTCACCGACGCCATCTCCTTGATGATGAAGATACAGAACACTCTGAAAGCCATCAAGAAGCAAACCGGCCAGGAAAATAGGAAAAGATCGTCCGACAGTGTCAGAGAGTCTCTGAATACTCTGTACGAGCGTTTAGCTCGCGGCAACTTGGACGAGCCGATCGACAATGAAAGGAGAGGGACGGATCGAGAATCTAAAAGGACCAGGAGAGATCTACTCGCGGAGATTGGAGGGTCTACGGCCTTGGAAAGGGACAGTCATTTACGGAGAGCGGCCGGATACGGCAGAGATCGTAAAAGCGTGGAGTTGGAAAGCAACGACAGCGGTGGAAACACGTTCCGCGAACTTTTCGAGGCAAATCCGGTGGAAGATTTATCGGAGGACGACGCGTTCTACGAACACTCCCCTCTAAACAGAGACTACGATTACGTGTTCGTTGAAAATTCTCCTTGGCGCCGCGATCGTTCGAAGAACGACGAATTAAAAATTCGGAGGAAACTTTCGAAGATGGATTACGATGCGGTGAACGATCGTCCGTGGACTGGCCGCGAGAACACTTACGATTATCCCTTCTACGAGCGTGCAGATCTCGTTGAAAGTTCAACGCCGTGGAAAGATCCGACGGAACTAAATTCGAAAGAGTCCAGCGAAGCGTGGGAGGAGCAAATTTATGATCATCGGGGAATCAATGGATTTGTCAGTGGGGAGGAATTTGACGTTGCGGAAACTGAATCAAATGAAAGTCACAAAGTTGATAGAGACAGGTGGAAAGAATTAAACGATTATCACGAGCCCGGTGACATTGGTGTACGGAATCACAGACCAGTACACAACCCTTTCATCGAATCTGATGCCCCATTTGTCACAGGAACCTATAGATCTCGAAATAATGACAGACTTGGCAATGAGAAGGAATTGAAATTCGTAGGAACTCGGCCGAACGAAGATCACAAAGTCCAAGACGATAACGGTGGATTAAGAGGAGCGAACGATTACCACGAATCCATTAATCTTCCGAAAAATCATAGACCCATATACAGCCCTTTGATCGAACCCGGCGCGTCCGTTCTTCGATATATATTGACTGGACAGCCATCGAACGAAAGAAAGAATTATTATGCAAAGAAAAAATCTCCCCCTGATTACTATCCAAGTTCTATGGGGAAAGGACCGGATTTCACGATCGGATCTGATTATCGTGGAAATAAAAGATCGAGGAGAAGGGACGAAGATCTGCACGCGATGTTCGACGAAGAGATGATCAACGAGGACGACGCGAACTCGAGGGACTGCAAGTGCAGGATGGTTAGAAATTCGAAAAGCTGCAGCTGCCGATCGAAGAGAGACGCTGTTGAATCTTTGGAATCATTGGAGTTCGAGGTTCATCAAATTCCAGTCGCCGGGCAACTGAGCAAGGACATAGTTAAATCGAGCATACGCGAAGATACGGACGTTGAGGTATTTTCAGAATTCAACGGGCACCCGTTCGAGAAAAAATTGCAAACTGAATCTTCGAGTCCGGGAATTAATGGAGAATCAGATGTACGAGAATCCTCAGAAATCAAAGATTCACGCCTGAAACCGGATCTCCTCGTTCCACAGCCTTTAATCACTGACGAAGCGTACGAAACAACGTTTGCAACGCTGATAACACTCGGGGATCCTTACGAGAAAATGGAATCACAAACTGAACCGAGCGAAGGTGTAGAATCTTCGGCGATCAGAAGCATAAGTTCGGATCCTTCGATTCGGCAGCCATTGATCAACGACGAACGCGAAGAGGCATTCGCGACGTTGACAAAACGGAACCGTTTCGAGAAAGCGGAATTGGAAGGCAGCTCGAAGCCAAAGATCAGTCGTGACACGATGTCAAAGTCTGAATCGTTGAAATCGGCTGAAACGAACTTGGAGGATTTGAACGAAGACGTACTTGATCGTTCGGACGTGGAAGAATTTTCAGTGCTCGCAGCCGCGAGTACACCCGCGGAGAACTGGGAATTACAGGACGAGTCCTCGTCGAACGTGGAAATTGTACGAAACGAGAAGACACCGCGTTCGTCGCAAATTGAAACGAGCGTGGAGAGCAATCGCGAGATCCCCTCGCTGCAAAGCAGAACGGACTTTGAAACGTCGTCGACTTCGGACTTGAAAGCGCGCGACGAGAGCACGTTTTTTCTCTGTGGGCCTGACGAGAAGAGGGAGGAGGCGGCGGCGATTAATACTGCGAAGTATACTGCGTTTAATCGCGAAAGTTCTACGCCCGCCGTTGTCGTTGGCGAGGAGGAGGGGAATGCAAAGGAGAAAGGAGATGCCGAGGAGGCCGCGGCTCCGGGAGCGGAAAGTTCAAGCACGACAGTTGAGGCGGTTTCCTCTTTATCAGAGGGAACTATCGGACAAGAATCTGAAAACAATTACGATAACGGTAACGTTGTCGGAGCGAACTCGAAACGGGAGGCCAAACTCCGTGAGGCGCAACTCCCCCGTGAAAAAGCCGAGCTCGCGAGCCTCCCCGCTCAGACTAAGAGGAGATTAAACGTGTTTAAGCCGCGGGCGTCGAAGACGGTGGAAACACTCAACGCGTTGAAAGATCTGTTCCTCAAATTAAAAGAAGAAACGCGCGGCACAACGTCCGCCGCAAGGCGGCGATCGCGGATCAACAAGCAGAGAAACGAAACGAGGCAGATGAAAGAATTGCGGAGGAAATTGCGGGATAAGAGGCAGATGATACTGCAGAAATTCGAGAGAGGCATCCGCGGTATGATAGATAACACGGAGCAAGACCCGGAGTGGAGAAAGTTAAAAAGGAGGGAAGCGTGGGAGAGGATCCGAGACAGTGAAGATTTTCGAGATATGATTGATCGCGAGAAACTGGCTTACGCGTTGATGTATCAACCGGCCAAGTACCATTCGAAGAGGGAGGTTGACTCGAGCGAAGAAGCCGAGATGATGGAAGTACCGGAAGTAACCGAGATCGTCCGAGCGAGGAACGTTAGACGGAGAGTTTTTAATCCGAGCGATCGGGGTAACTTCCGCGACGCCACGATCGTGGAACATCCCGAGCCTGGTAAATTAAGAAAGAAGATTATACAACTGGCCAATTTGCATCGGGGTGAAAAGCCGAGTAGAGGAAAATCTGAGAGCAAGGGGAGCAACAACAAGGTTTATCTCGCCGTGGTGGAGGACATCGAGAGACCGCGAATATTTTATTACGAGGAAGATCCGGAAAACGAAGAAGAGAATAGGGACGCGCAGGTAATTAATTTCATTGTCATTCTGTTTCGTTTAAGATTCGTCGAAACTCCTCGTTCAATTAATCGTTCAATTAATCTTTTTTTCGTTTAATTAACTTGGCCCGAACAGGCACGCTCTCTCTATAGCAGTAAGTACAATCGGCCGCTACAGAAGCCTTATCGCGAAAGTCTTAAAGCCGTTCAATATTCCGAGGAAGAGGATCAGGAAGAATCAGATGAACTCCCCGAGGGCAGAGAAATATACATAATCGATCCGTCCGAGTACAAAGGAGGGGATCCACCGATGCAATTGTACGGAACTCCGTCGAAATCGAGGATTAATTTGAAGAAAATAATCAACTGGAAACCTAGTTCAAGCTACAAGTCCTACGAAACGCGTCAACCGGCGCGGAGGCACGATGAAATCCCGGACGAGAATTCCTCGGATGCGATCATCGAGGAAATTGTCAGAACTATATTCGACAACGTCGACTCTCGGGTCGAAAAGCTTTTTAAAAAATCGGCGAGACTCGACGAAGAGGAAGACACAGACGAACGTGAAGAGAACGAAGAAAATTACGAGACGAGTGCGCAATCTTCGGAGAAAACTGACGCGCAAGGTGTCAGATATCTGAGGGAGAGTGATCGAGATGTTTCGGAGGAAGAAACGCAAACTGAGGAGGACGATGTTTCCGTATCGCTAATTTCTCGAGAAAACGCCACGGACGCTAATATTTCTGTCGAAGATTCGAAAGAGGAAGACGCTGCGCGTGTCCGAGAACAAAGGGACGTTGGATCGAAAGAATATTTTACGCCTGTGCCCATTTTCATGCGCGAAATATCGGACGTAAGCCGGAAAAGTGAATCAATTAACGATTTACATCCGAAGCAGAATTCAGAGAAGATTCCATCTGGGCCGAAAATTGAAAAGGCGAGAGGACATCTCGAGACAAAGAAGTTGTACGGTAAAACATTGGCGAGTATGAAGAAACAAATTTATTTAACGAGTAAAAGCGACGAGTCTAAAAAATATGAAAATTTCCCGAAAAATCTGAGAATTTTAAGTTCCTTGACATCGAAGTCGTACGATCACTTTGGTGAAGTAGGTTCTGTTGAATACTCGTCGATCGAGGTGAATCCGATTGTTGGAGCAAGAGATCTGTATGGAAAAATTTCCAAAGACTGCCATGGTGCATCAGACACCGTGGGGATAGATCCAGAATTGGATAAAAGTAAGAAACGTTCAGACGATGCCTCGTACGGAGATGAGAGTGTTCCCAACATGCAAGAGCTTCGTAACGAAAAGGAAGATAAAGATAATAAAGAAGTGGATTTAAAGGAAGCACCGTTTTCTGATGTACCTGAAACAATGAGGGTGTTGCCATGGATAAGAAAATCTAATAGACTCCGAAGGGAAGCAACGAATCAAGAGACCAACGAAAATAACAAAGCGGAGAAGGTAAGCTTTAATTCTACAATAAATAATTACATCTTTAGTCTCAAAATTTCCTACATTATTGATATTGTTGTTATTATTATTTTTCTTATATTTTGTCAAAAATGACGAGTGGATTATACCGTGAGAATTTATTTAAATTGCCACTGTATGCGATTAAAAAAAATTCAATTCATAGATATTCTAAGATCGAATATGTTTGTGTCATCATAGAACTCTGTAGTGAAATTCGCATAAAATCCGAATGATTCTGTTTCAAGGTGCAGCCGTCTGAATTGCAACATCTAGATTTAGATGGATCTTCCAGCCCGAGGAACCTGATATCTAGTCAGATCGATGACGTCGAGAAATCGCTGATTCAGAAGATATCACTTGAAAAATTCTCGACTTCGAGAAGGAATGCCAACAAGAGGAAGAATATCAAGAGAAACAACGACGATGGATTGTCGTCTCTTTTGCAGAGAAGCATACCAAAGTTGGGGAACGTAGTGATGAACGGATTGAATAAAGCGGAGAATTTTACTGGATCGGTGGAACGGTTAATTATGAATCTGGATGAGAAGTACAACAAAACTTTGAAAGAGGAGCAACGAAGAGATTCCACGAGTACTAGGTCAATTGGTCCTACTGAGAATGTTCTTCACAATGCGGTAGCGAATGTGAAGAAGATTTTTATACTGCTCAGCGGGATCACTAATCTTCTTCAGGGTAATCAACAGTAACGCGAACGCTACACAATTTGTAAAATGAACTCTGCTCTTTTTCTTTTCCCTCCTTTTTTTTTATTCAACGCTATTTTTGTAATACTGTTTTTAATTTTGTAATATTTTAATATCGTTCGAGAAAATAAAGATTATCGTAAAGTATGTTCGATTTTAATGAACGAACTTAATCCTCCCCTACCAGGCATAAATGGAATAAATGCATACTGATCCATTTTTTTTAAAAATGTTATTAAATATAACGTGCATATATATGTATATATATGTAACATTGTTTCCATTAACGTTATTTATTGACGTCCTACATGTAGCAAAATACACAATACAGTTACTCGTATGCATTGCAAAATTATGCAATTACCTGACACCACAAATTTTACAATACAGAAATGTCAAAACACGTATGCAACTTTGAGAATAATACGTATGCATCGGCCGACAAATCGCACAGTCGTCCATCGATACCGATACGGATCACTTCGAGAGCTAAGAAGATATTAATGTCAAACGCGCAACGATTCGCCGGTGATCACGAGTGACTCCCCGGTAACCATCATGTATCGTCCTATCTTTGCATGGTTCTTACTTCTTGCGCTGGTTGCAACGACGTACTCGAAAAGTATCAACGTTAATAGCGAAGACATTGGAAATCATTCCACCGACAGGTAAAAGAACTTTGCTTTTTACATTCAAAAATAAAACGCATACATACACTGTCGTCCACAAATCGTTTAACACGCATAACTTGATATTTTTACTATATTTTCAAAACTACGATGAAATCTTCCTCTCATTAAAAGATTTTCATCATACGATTCTCAACTATTGTAAAATCTTATTATAAAATTCTTATAAATTTCTTGCTACAAGATTTTCTTTCCATTTCAAACGTTGGAGTTGGAGTGGAGTGCGTTTACGATAATAAGAAAGTGTTCAGACACCAACGATATTGTACGTAACGCGAATTATTTCGGACGTACAATATATTAGTCTTACTCTTTAAGAACACCGTGTTTTAGTCTAACAGTAATAAGCCGCACACAGACCCTGACGAATGTGGCTATCATATTTACGAAAAATAATTCAACAAATTTTCTCCAGAATATATTTCAGCAGCCCATATTGCAGGATTTGCCATTCCCTCATAAATTCTCCTTATCCCGCTACCATTTATCTGGCTTTCCACCGGAGTACATCGGAACATTCTTTCGATTTTTCAAACGACCCTTTTCTTTGGACGAATTTCGGATTAGGTGCCGTTCTACTGGATTGCACACACGCGAAAGTGTGTTAGTCGCCCAAGAGCAACGCTGGCGCAACTGTTAGGCGTCAGCGTCGCTTAAATTACATTCCGTCGGCTTGCTTGCCAAGATAGAATTTCGAATTCGAAAGAAACCCCTGAATCAACATAATTTATGTCCGTATGCGAGTCGCGGGGAAATAAATCGGGGAATTTCGTGCCGCTTTCGGTGAATTTCGGCGGTACGCTTTACGCTCAGTCTTTGACCGAACTTCACTACGATGGAAATATAAATTCGGTTGGTTTTCTAATAGAAAATTTCACCTCGGTGAACACTTGAATCTCGATTTACAAAGCTCGACGTGATTGAATTTTAGGGTACAATTATTTTAAGGTAAAATTATGACGCATGGTCACAACATTCGAGACACTCCAGGACTGTACGATTAAGTAATTAAAGTTCAAGTATTGGATTGTTCGAATTTAGAAAATTTCAATAAAATATGCCAATTATCTTGATTTTTATAAATCACGATAGCTATTTCAATTAATTTTGCATTTGAAACAAATGAACATTGTCATAAAAGTGGCAACATCAAGATTGACTAGTAAAATTGTAATTCGCCATCTTGAATTTCTCCGCACACTTTTACTCCGAAATTCTCGAACAAACCAATATTTTCACAAGGTATATTCGTGGTTGTTCACTTACCAAGACGTGGCTCGAACGATCTCCGACACCAGTTTAACTCCTATAACTCCACCAGAAGCACCGGATCACGTTTTCTTAAATAACACTCACTATTTCACTTTATAAAATTATACTCCGCCTCGAAATTTACACGTGTTATCGCGAGCGCGAGCGAAGCTAGAATAATCAAAGGATGTTCAAGTATCGTCGTTCTGTTCCTAACGCGAGTTTTTGTTATCGTTCTTCGAACGGGAGTCTTGCCTTTTCCAAGAAATATCGAAGTTCCACGACGAAAACAAAAGTTCCTGGAATTATAACACAACACGCTTAGTTCGTCAAAATTTAAGCAAAACAGTAAAATTTTAAAGCAAATAATTTAGAACTGTCAACATTCTTTCATTTTCTTTATCTCATTTTGTCAGTAGAAACGTACGGTTGCATTGTTTATGCTGCTTGGTAACGACATTTTGTAAATTTACATCATCTATAGATCACTAGATTAATTTTTAGTATTGTACTGTATAATTATTAAATTATTTAATTTCAATATTTGATATTTTTTTTCAATGTAACGTCTTTAATATTTACATGAATTTATCAGACGAAAGAAAAGACATTTTTGCACACAAAACTCGTACCTAATGATATTATAAAGTAAATTCTACCAAGATAACTGATATTCCGAATCAACAAGATTACGTTACGAAACAACTAAATTTCCTTTTTCCAGAATCAGCGCTACATTTTCTCCATCGAGTCAAACCGAATCTAACTCTAAGGCCAATAATAAGAGAAGCTTGCTGATTCTGTTGCCAAAAACCAAGGAAGAAGAAAATACAGAATGCCAAAATCAGAAAACGAAACGCTGTAAAACATCGTTCCGCAGGGATACGGCGATACCCAAGGAAAAACATCGAACCACGTTCAAGCCGAGGAACACGGGAAACCCTCCAAATAATGAAAGAGACCGTGAATATTTTGTTGGTCAAAAGCGAAACCTGCAACTTCTTTCTTCGAAGGAACCTTTGGCAAAACCAGGTCCACACCCCGTGACCATGGAACAAGCGATGAATGCAACGTTTCGCGACGCGAGTGTGCTAGATTCGCTTCGAAAACAATTAACGCCCAATAGTCCTACCGTGGCTGCCTCTCAACCAAATTTCGCGCCAAAGACAAGCGTGTACGACGACGGTAAATTCATTTGTTACTGCAGAAAAAAGGTCAATCCCACTTTTAGAAAAGACCCGGCACGCGTCGCTCCGAAGCCGCAGGGATTATCGAGGAAGCTTAAACCGGCGAAGAAACTTCCTAATAGAAATCCGCTTGTAGGTAGCAAACAACCGGCTTACGCAAATGTTCCACACGAATCACCTTCGACTAAAAACTTACCTCCGACGTATCCTACCGTTTCGAAGTATCCACTTGGCTATATACCTAACAACATAAACCCAATTTTTCCACACGAGGGACATGGAACAATACCGTACATTCCATACATTTATCATCCGGATCCTCGAGTTTCGATACCCAAGATCCCAGACGAAGGAGAAACTCCAAATGTTAATACTCCGTTGGAATCAACAGCAACTAAATCCGACTCGATTGTTGGGCAAGAGGCGTCAATCAGCGAGCATGATCCAAATGAAAACCAACGAACTTTTGACCAAGCTCCACCAAACATCGTTGGCAAGAGTCTGTCTCAATCTTCCGAAGATTCAATTCCTGCAACGTCTGTGAAGGAAAACGCTTCGAGCAATAGCAACGAGAATTCGAATATTCCCGACTACAATTTACAATCTATCCAGGCAGATCCTTCCGATAAAAATCGTTTAACACCGTTAGAGACGGTTGACTCTTTCAGAGAAGATTCTACCCTACAGGCTGCCAATCCAGGCATGAGTGTTGCATCATCTACGGACTTGAGGAACGGATTTGCGAATGGATACGAAACGACAAGCAGCGGGAACGTAGATTACTCTGACATCAAGGAAGTTACGACCGCATATTTCACATCGAAAGCTTATGACAACCAAGCTGGACGCGGTTATGGTAATTCTCTTATAAGCAGCACGGGTACCATGGATTCAAATTCGGCGGAACTGCAGAATCGACATAATGGCCCGGCAGGGGACTCGGGAGAATCCGAGAATGTTGGAATGAATTTGGACACGAAAGACTTGCATAATGCAAAGGAGCTTGACCAAGGAAACAATGAAGAAAATGTTATGCCGGGAACAAATAACCCGTTTTGGAGTCAAAAATCGACAAGCAACGTGAATTCAAATTCGCAAGAGGATCCTAATTGTAATGTCAATTTGCCGAGTAAGCACAATGACGATTCTGCGGGAAATTCGAGAGAAGACGATGGCATGAATCTGAATACGAAAGATTTAAATAACGCTGGGGATCGAGAAAATAACGAGGAGGACGTTGCATTAGGGAAAAATAATCCCCAGTGGAATCAAGAAGAATCCGCAAACGACAATTCAAATCCGAACTTCGGGTCCAACGTGGAAGAAGACGAAGAAAATTTTGAACATCCATTTGCAGAAGACTCGGATGAAATTGGTACAACGATCGGTGACGGCCCATCGAACGAGAAATCTTCTGCAGAAGATTATGCGAGTGAATTGCCGGAAACGGAGAATAATGCCGGTCCGTTAAAGACCGATTACGAGAAGGAAAATTCCGTACGTAATAAATTCGAGGAAAAACTCGAGAGCGAAGAGAAAAGTCCAATTAGCGATTCTTTGGCGGACGAGACAATATATCCCGCCGACCCGGAAAACGATTATACGACAATTGCCGAAGATTTCATAAATACGGACAATGAGAGAGTCGGGGCGGTGCAAGTGACAATTCAGAGGAAAAACGAGGACGATCCTTCCATCGACCCGACGTTGGGACTGTCGAGAATCGACGACGATGATAATAGAGCAACAAATGATGCATCGAACCAGTTGCCTTTCTGCGACAACACGTTGCTCCAAAAATCGATAAAAACGGCAATTAATAACTTTGCCACGGCTGATTCGTCCGAAATGAATGAGAACGAGAACGAGGAAACAGTGGGCGCCGCGAAAGGGGAAGATTTACTGCCGGAAGTTGTACAAGTTCCAAACTTGAAGGGTATTTTGTCTATGCCGGCAATAGAGCGCACACTTTTGGATAAGATAAAAAATCTTCTGTCGAAAGCGACCGGAATGGGTAGGGAGAATTTCGACAGCGACTGGGCGACCAACGTGATCAAAGATAATCTACGGCACACGTTGGCTGCCGCGCCTGGTTCCAAGACAGAACTCCCACCGATGACCGTCGAGGAGCATCAATTCAAAAATGGCAAATGGGTGACAAATATGGTTACGCTGGAGCCTACGGACGAGAAAGACCGTACTCAAACGGATGTAGAAAGAATACAGTCCCACGTTAAAAACCTTTTGCGCGATCCAACCGTTGGTTTACAGGCAGCTAAGAACCCAGCTGTTCAGAACATGATCGTCCAAAGCGTCCGACATATCTTCAAGCCCAAAAATGCAGCCAACGATGAAAATATCGACTCGATCATTCAAAGCACTTTGAACGACGAATTAAACATCATGGAGATGGAAAGCGATGAAATTCCCACGACAGAAAATATATCTGAATCCGAATCTGAGTCCACCACTTTCGACGTGTCGAATATCGATATGAACAAGCTTTTGGACATCGCCAAAAGTGAAGCGGGTCTGGATGACAATAAAGACAGCGAATTACCTCCTTTAGAATCGTCTACGTATGAAAAAGATGAAGAGAATGTGAAAAACCAACAAACGCTTTCGCCTGCCATGGATTCTTTGGACGGAGGCATTGTTGGGGAAGCTATGAACTTTGGAACAAAGGCAAATCAGGATACAGAGGAATCTTCAGAACAAAACCAAACACCGGATAATATGAAAGAACTTGAGACTGAACCAATTGAAACTAGTGGAATATGGAACGTTGCTGCTACCTTGGAAGTTAAAGACGAATCTTCGACTACAAAAATAGAAGATTACGCGTCCGTAGAATACGATTCTCCAACAATAAATTCAGCAGAAAATGCTGGTGCTACGTATATGGAAGAAGCTGAAAATGTAGGAAGATCGATGGAACAGGAAGATAAAAGTTCGACACCGTATACAGACGATGCTACTTCCGCAGAAGATTTCACATATTTGGGAAAGATCGCAATGAAAAATAGGAATAACGCGGACGATGTGCAAAGTCTACGAAATTCCGAGCTGTTTTACGTCGGTGACGGTGTAAAGCTACCTTTGGAGATAAGAAAGCTGAACGACGGTTCTTACGCTTTATCGATTTCTAGAAAGGTTTGTGAACAATTATTAAATCAGGAGTGCCCTTGTTGCGTGCCCAGAGAAGGTAATGTTACCCGGACCGTGAGACGAAATTTAGAAATGGAAAATGCTGATGGAAGAATTTCCAAACGCGAATCGGTGAAATCAATTTTACTGAATGAAGGAGAAAGATGTAATCCAGCTGACGACAGCTTACAGATTTTCTCAATGCCTGTGGAAACTTTCGCGAGAAGATACAATCTGTCTCTGAACTTGGAGAAAGTGCAAACTCCGTGGGATTTCGACGCGAAGGGAAAGATTGATGGCCGATCGAGAGATCGATCGAAAAATTATAAGAATAAAAATGACAGCGGTAACTTTAAAAACAAAAGGACGTATAATAATCTACACAATGATGCAGCAAGTTTCGATCTTGAGAGATATCGTTATCAACGTAATATCAATGAAAGCGCAGATAAACGAGTAGAAATAATAACACAAGTATTAAACTGGTTAAGAGATATGGTATTAAGTACAAATAATAAAAGATGAATATATTTTCATTCCTCTAAAATTTGTAACACCATAATTTTTTATATATATTTTATTATCTTTTTATACTCCAATATGTTATTTTTTTTTATAATTTTCCTATGTAATATAAAGAGAAAATAAACAAAAAATATGTCTGAAAGTTTAAGAAAAATTAAATCCCTTCCAATTATTTTTAAATGACTCCAAATAACTCTAAAAATTTTATTAAAGGATAGTAATGTTGACATTTACTTAACGTGCTAAATATTTATTTTCTTTATTTTTTAGTCTTTGTTTTTTTACTATCAAGTAAAAATCGGTGATTCATACAGCAGTGACGTAATCCTAATGGTTACCTAGAATAACTTGTGATTGCAATCAATGAAAGGTAGTTTGGTTATGTTTGGCAGGCACGTACTTCTGTCAACATAGCAAGAAAATGGGCTTGTTTGGCAAATCTCAAGAAAAAAATCCCAAAGAAATGGTTAGAAATAAAATGAAAATCTAATATCTATTCTGTGTTTATAAGAAATCATATTTCAGGTTCAAGAATGGACACATAAATTAAGGAAAGAAGGCTATCAATTGGATAGACAGGTTAGAGGTAAGATACTACTGGTGGTATTTTATAAAATACATTGTAACGAAAATGATATTTATGTATAGCAATTCAGCGGGAAGAAGAAAAAATAAAGCGTTCACTAAAAGAAGCAGCAAAAAAAGGTGACAAAGATGTTTGTAAAATTCTAGCAAAAGAAATAATACGTGCACGTAAAACTTGCAATAAACTTTATACGTCAAAAGCACATATGAACTCTGTTTCATTACAAATGAAAAATCAGTTAGCAACGATTAGAGTTGCTGGTTCTGTCCAAAAATCTACAGAAGTGATGCAAGCAATGCAGTCATTAGTAAGAGTACCAGAGGTAGCAGCAACAATGAGAGAATTGTCAAAGGAAATGATGAAAGCTGGTATTATTGAAGAAATGTTAGATGAAACTATGGAATTTGTGGAAGATTCTGAGGAAGTGGAAGACGAGGCAGATGAAGAAATTGACAAAGTAAGTCATCTGGATATGTTTAAAAAACTATGTACTAAAATGTATAATATATATTACAGATCTTATGGGAAGTAACTGCAGGTCAATTAGGTACAGCACCTGCAGTTGTTACAGAAACACCAGGATCTGTTATAGCGTCTACTTCCGCAGAAGAAGAAAGTGAAGATGTAAATGATAAGGAACTTGAAGAAATGAAACTGAGACTACAAAGTCTTCGTAGCTAGGTGTAATATATAAATAATTCATCTGCATTGACTTCAATATCAACTTACACTTATTGAACATATACATACATAAGGTACAAATACAGTGGAATGAATGCCTATCATATTTCAATGCATACTTCAATAATATTTCTTAACAATATCTAATTGATGCTTTTATATTATATTAAATAACCAAAAGAAAATAAGTATTATAAAAATGAAAACAATTTTTATTTTGACTATAGTTTTTATGATCTATCTCTTTCATCTAATTTTTATAATCCAGCTTTTATAATCTGTGTGTGATTTGTAGGATGTCACTATATTTCAACTACATAAGTCATAAATACAGAGAAGCTGGCTTCTTGGTTATATTATGTTGAAAGATACACTTCTTAATTTAATTACAATCACCAAAATCTTGTATTAATATGTATTATATATAAATAATGGTTTTAATTGTTATTAATTTGTGCACTTCCTGATTTTACACCTCTCATATGTATTAATATAATAAAAATAATGCAAAAGCACTGTAATAGGTCACTGGTAGATACATGTACATAAAAAGATTACTATATTTATACACATTTAATTTAAAGTTGCTGAATTCAGACATTTTCAACTTCAATATTTTGATACCAACTTACACTAAATCACAGAATTACAATATTTTATAGGAAATTATGTACCCCAAATTTGATATTTGTGTAGAACATCCCCTTAGCATATTGTGCAAGTGTACAGACTATCAAGAAATAGCAAATAAATTTAGATCTTATACAATTGGTACAGAACACTATTTACAACCTAAAATAAATGTAGGTATGTAAAAGTACAATATAATTTACTCAATTAAATAGCATCCTGATTTCAACCATTTATGCTAGAACCAATTGCTTCAGCAAAAGTTCTGTGGATAAAAAACCGTATTAAATTAAATGAAGATATTTCAAAACCAATACTTCTTTATCCTCGAGAACAACCAGATATCAATGCATCCAATGTAAATAAGATGTGGTTACCTATTACATTAAACTTAATACCGCTAAAATTTATATACAAACTTTAAGCTTCTGTATAATTTATGACATATATTTACATATTTGAAATATATTAAATAAATATTAGACATTGTATATTTGAGAAAATATTCAAATTGATCAAAAAAATACATTTTAAAATTGTTGTTTCTTATATTTCAATATTTTTTGAAAAAATTTTATTGCACCATAAATCTTTTTACATATCTTTTTTCAGCATAATATCAATCTATACATATATAATGTACATATATATATGAACATATGAATATATATGTACATACATACAGATACATTCACATAAGTTACATATTGAAATTATACTCTCCCTATTAAGAGTTTGAAATATAACATTAATTTTTAATTAATTCTTAAAAAATTTTCAAGTTTTTTTTTTAAACCTTTGTAACATCACTATATCTCTGTCATTTTTAAATGTACATCTCAACAATAATAAAATTAAATAACATAAAAATGATTAAGGAATTTGCTCGATATCATTTGTACTCTACAAAATATTTCGTTACTTTAAACCTATTATTATCATGCCTATCACCATCATGTTATAAATATATAATAAAAATAATATATTTTAATTATCACTGTTTCATGGGTCTCATCTCTCTTAGTACACATATAAGTAACTGTGTGCATAAGTATAATTTATATTTAATTATATACTCTTAAAAATACTATCATTTATTTATATTTTAGCAAATTTACAAGTGATCAATTACCATATTGACAATTGCAAGTTTCATCTGTGCTCTAGCTCTTTTAGGAAGTCTATGCATATGAGGTGCCAATTTGCGTAAAAAGTATTTGACTTCACTTCTAATAGGAAAAATCGTTCTTCTCATTGTTTTTGAACTTCTTTTACGTCTCACAGGTTTTTGTTGTGATAAACATTCTACTTCTTCAAAATCCTCATAAAACTGCTCTTCTTTTACATTAGCTGCCTCTTCATTTAATCCTTCTAATGTATGTGGCAACACAACTTCTTCATGTACTTCCAATTCTTCACCAATTACTTTACCCTCTGTTTCTTCTAAAGAAGTTGACAGAAATTCAGTTAAATTTTTATCTATCTCTTGTTTGTTCTGTTTTATAACTGGCAATGTAACTGAAGCTTCACCATTTTGTACCCACACTTGCTGTCTTGTATTAATTTCATTAGAGATAGTAGAAATATGTGTTATTTTTGGTCTAGTTTGCTGTTTCATTGCCTTCATTTTTTGTTGTTCTTGCTCAGGAAGATCTATTTTAATTAATAAACCTGGAGGGATACTAGATAAACTATGCACTGGGATAGGAGCACCTAAATTTGATATATCACCAGTAAATGGTAGAATTACCTTCTTTATATTGCCTTGAATGTTATTTGGAATATTTGATGTAACATGATTTGCTATTGTTATAGGCTGAAATTGATCTGTGAATTGAATTTTCCAGTTAGAAGTAGGAGGAAGTGGTAATTTTCTTATCACACGATTTTCAATATTATTAGGATCAGGCCTTGGAATGTTAATAAGAGTTGGCCTTTTAGATTTCCCACGTTTCTTTGCAAGAGGCGTCGGCTTATTATCTACCTTTGGCTTTTTACTAGATACTAAAGGTCTTGAAAAACCTTGCTTCTTAATTTCTTTAGTATTATTACAATTAGCTTCTTCTAACATATCTTGGTCATCTTCTATTTTTTCCATTGAATTGACACAATCTAATTGCGATACATCCTTTATAGTTGGAACTGCATCGCATGGTCCTACTTTATGAAAACTTTGTCCTGTCTGAAAATGTTTTGAACAAAGTACTAACTTTCTTATTTGATTTGGAGACATTTTCAATAAATCTTCTCTACCCAAAAACTGACACCATCTTAAGCATCTGCCAATTTCATAAGCTGGAAAAGGATGGAACTTATATCTTTCTATTTTATTCTTTGGATCTGATCTTGATCTACCACAAGCAGCACATGCTTGACTTTCTAAGACAGCAGGTGGTAAAGGCTCTAATTTCTTAGGTTTCTCCGAGGAACTATATTTTGAATCAAATACAAATTCCATAATATATTGCTCAGATCCATCTAACTGATCAGGATTTCTAATATTGGGAACAGCATTGTCTATCAATCTGCTTTTATAACCAGGCATAAATTGAGAACGATCAAAATGTTTTGAACAAATGTAACAAAACAAAATTTCCTTTCTTGTCAATCTGTAATATGAATCTACGCCAACGAAGTCGAGCCATTTTAAACATCGAAACTCTTCACCAGGAAAATGATGAAATGTTACACCATCATAATCTAAATCCGATGGATCTCGGCGAAATCGGCCACATAATACACAGGTTATGTTATACAAACTTTGTTTAGGATCATAAATTGAGGGTACTGCGGTACAGTTTAATCTGTCGAGATATTCATTTAAAAAATCCTTCGGCTCGAAGTGCTTGGAACATACCATACGTTGAAGTAATTGTTTCTTTGTAAGTTTATATAAATCTTCACGGCAACAAAATTCCAACCACTTTCTACAACGAGCTTCGTCGTTAACGGGAAATCCAAAAAACATATATTCCTCTTCTTTGTTGTTTGGATTCATACGCGAACGACCGCATACAACACACGGATGCGGCATTTTTTTAAAAATTACTCTTTGTCTCTATACATTCGTCAAATAGACAATTCCATTTTGCTATAGCTTCGTGAAAAAATATCAGGTCTGAGTCAATGCTTTTTAAACATTATAGCTAATACACTCTTTAAAAGATTTAAAATTAAATTATCTTTTTATAGCCTTTTTGTATATGGTGCAATTCTCTGATGTTTAAAGAATAAAATTCAATAATAAAATGCAATAACCTCTTCATCATTTTTCAATCGTATATGTTCAAATTTTGAATATTTCTATGAAACGCAGCAATATTAAGAAAGTTCAGAGAGTTAAAATGTTTCTTTAAAAAAACACGTCTTTAGAAATGAATATTAAAAATCACTTTCTTTTCATGTTATTACACTTGTTGCGCCTTTCTTGTACTATGAAAGGTTAAGCTACTGCTACAGCGTCTTTCACCTAACCTTTCATAAAGTAATACAGCTGTAATTTGGCAATATAGTAGCTAACCTATCAAAGTCCTGCTGTCAAAATATCACTTTATTAATAAAAAAAAATAGTCAAAATGGCAGAAAATTCTAATAATCCATACGATATTAACGGACAGCACTTTAATCCTGATATGTATTTTCAAAAATTATTGAAAGTAAGTGTACATCTTAATTTTCCATTATATTTCCATATATTAGTATTTATTTAATAACATAAAATAATTTTTTAGGAGTGTACATTAAAACAAATTATGGACCATGAAGCAGAAATTATAAAAAATACTCAAATTTTACATTCTGATATGCAAACTCTGGTATATGAAAATTATAATAAATTTATATCTGCTACAGACACTATAAGAAAGGTAAGTTTGTGTTAATTTTATACATAATTACTTATTTGTCTAATATATAATATTCATACAATATACTTTTTCATTATTCAGATGAAAACGGATTTTAAAGAAATGGAAGATAATATGGATTTATTGGCCAAAAATATGGATAGTATCACTTCTTTTTCAGAGCAGATTTCATCAACATTGCAGGGTACTAGACAACAAATTGCCAAATTATCTTCTGTTCATACATTGTTAAAAAAGTTGCAATTCCTCTTCAAATTGCCTGGCAATTTGAAAGATAAAATGAATGAAGAGAATTACGCACAGGTCTGTGTCATATTACATTGTTACACAAACACACACATACACACACAAATGTACACATATTTAAATATTTGTTATTTTGTTCAGGCAGTGCAAGATTACATTCATGCACAACGTGTATTGAATCAATATGGTAATATGCCTTCATTTCAAGGAATACAGAAAGATTGTGAAGATATTGTAGAGGAACTCAAGTCAAGACTGAGAATGCAATTTCATAAAAGAGATGCATCAACTAAATCTTTAGCTGAAAATGTAGATCTTTTGTTGCAACTAAAAGAACCAGCTGATTCTTTGTGTGCTGAATTTCTAACGCATGCGGATGAAAGATTAACAGAACAGTTGGATGTTCTAAAAGATATGTGTGAAAATGATATCATAGAATTTGTAGATATGGCTAGTTCAGGATTTTTAAGTGACTTATGTTTGATTGTTGCTTCCTATAATGATATGTTTATAAATCGACCACCATCAGAAGATAACGAATTTACCGATGACTTTGATACAAAAGCCACTGCACGTTTGAATAGCTATATCATGAAAAATATGAAAAAATATTTCGATTTAATTGGGAAAAGAGTAGAAAATGTAGCTGATACATCTATTTTAGTAAAGGCATTAGACAAATTCCATAGACGATTGCAAGCAATGAATATGTTATGTAAAGATACAGACTTTGCAAGGTAATAAAAAATAACACTGTCATTGCAAAAAGAACGCAAAGTAAAATTCAGATTAAAATATATTTTTATTTATAGAACAGGCACCAATATTGTTATTAATGCAGGTAGAAAACAATGTCGCAATCATTTAGACAATTTGAAGTCCCATTTAAGTGAAACACTTGTTAAAGTGAGACAAATACTGACAACTAAAACTTCTCAAGAAGGAGATAATAGTTTAGCAGAACTCCAGGCATTGCTTATAATGCCTGTCATAGAAAAAATTAAAGGAGTTTTACAGGATTTATTGGTGTGCCTTTATTCTTAAGATTTTTTTATAACTATAAGTTTTTTTTATAACTTGATACCAATTAATTTAAAATCATATAATTTTAGGTATTCTTACAACCAGATTTGTCATTTAGTTTAAAAACACAATTTCTACAAAATTTTTGTGTGGATGAAGTTAGAGAAGGCTTAATAGTTGGATTTTTGCATCATTTAGTGATCACTGCAAGTAGATTTTGTGCTGGATCTGATATTCCAAAATTTCCACCCACTCTTTTACTCTTATTGAGCAAAATGTGCATTGAATTCAAAGAAAATAATGTTAAATATTTGGTAGGGTAAATAATTCTAAAGTAATTTTAGAAAACACGTTTGTAAGGAATTATTCTTTCATTTCTGAACAATTGCAGCTTACTACTACCGATGATTTATTCAATATGAAACAATACACATCATCTGGAAATGTCATTACAACTGAATCAGAGATCTGCGACAAGTTCCAAGAAGCAGCGCAAAATTTATTAAATCATTACGTTCGTATTCAAGGTTTAGCAGTGTCACAAATGTTAAGGAAATCTGTCGAAACAAGAGACTGGTTACATACGATCGAACCAAGAACAGTCAGAGCTGTAATGAAGAGAGTCGTAGAAGATGTAACGTTAATCGATACTCAAGTCGCTGCGTTATATGACGATTCTGATGGTCAAGTCGACAGAAGTAGCGACAGCAGTAGAAAAACCCATAGGTACATTGTAATCATTTCCAAGTGATTAATAATGTTTCATTAAATAACTTGCTTTGGTTCTAGCGTGAGTGTGTCCAGACATCACTACAGATCAAGCTGGTCATCGTACACGCCCAATCATATAGATTCGTCATTGGTGACGAACATTCATAAACTGTTTTCAGAACGTATAGAAATTTTTTCGTCGGTTCAATTTAATAAAGCCTCAATTCTTACGGGAATCATCAAAATAAGTTTAAAGGTAAAATACTTTTAGCAGACACAGTACCGCAATAGAAACAGGTGCTGTCAGCCAGTTACAATGATAAAATAGCACAGCCATTATCCACTTTGCATCACGAAGATACCTTATTCTCTCGCGTTGCGTACACCGCATACTACGCAACATACTTTGTGCATTTGATATTATCAATACTCGATATTTTATCCTAAACTAACAATAAGAATTATTCATTATTTACAGACCTTTCTGGAATGCGTAAGATTACGAACGTTTAGTAAATATGGACTACAACAAATTCAAGTCGACACCCATTATTTACAACTGTATTTATGGAGATTTGTTTCGGATGAAAAGTAAGTTTAAGTAACTATCGTTTTACAGGAAAATAGTTTTGCATGAAACATTTTTTCCAGTGTCGTCCATTTCCTACTAGACGAAATACTTGGAAGTGCTGTACATAGATGTCTAGAACCAGTTTTGATGGAGCCAAGTGTTGTAGATATTATTTGTGAAAGAGGATGAAGAAACAGACAGAAGAGGAACAAATATAGAATATTGTTGTTTCGACTAGTATATTGTACAGTTTTTTCTAGCGTATACATATTTTCTTGTATCACTATTTATGAGAATGAGTAAATGTTATGAAGATTTATAATATGTGATACCATGTATATTCTTGTATATCTTGACATTAACACTGTACATTCCACGAATAAATTTGGCGACGAACCGTAAGAAACGATCTATCTCTTTCAAGTAATTATCTCTCTATCCTTTTATTCATTTCGTATCACCGCCTACGCAGATCGAATACTACAGGGCCTGGTCGTGTCAAAGTACTACAATTCAAGTAACACGATGCACGACATACTTTTCTTTCTTTCTCTATTGATTCGGTGATACGATCTTTTGTCTCCTCTCCTTTACTCTCCCCACTCCCATTCGGGATAAAATAAACTTATCAAAGTCTTAGTATTGTATAAGAAGCAGGGTCAAATGATTCTAATAAGTCTTAATTCTCTATTATATTCTGCACTTTTGAACTTTATTATCACTAAGCTACGGATGTTTATGCATTTAATGGGAAAAAAAGATGTAAAAATTTATAGAATGCGAAAATGTATAAAATATTCAAAATATCACACAAAATTCTCACAAATCTCTAGTCAAATTCTAGTCAGTTAGGTTCTACTATTGTATCAATAAAAATATGACTCTGCATATTTACAGTTTAACTGTCATATTACAGATGTTATGAAAAGAAAAGTCGATCGTTATTGGAACAACGTTTTTTCATTGAAGATCGCTTTATCTTCTTTTAATATAAATTTTGTATCAAGCGAATTTAAAATACTTCTACTATCGTTCATGTATAATATTCTGTATCGATCGATTTTATCCTTTTTGTATGAATTTCATTTTAATTTGAATTTAATTTTTTCAAAACAGTTTAAAATTGTTATTGGAATACAGCGTTCTTCCATCGACGACTGTCGCATATGACGCATAAATGTGCAAAGAATAAATAGGACAAGAGCTTATAGTATATGGGGTTCTGCCGTACCCCCTTGGCAGTGGCTCGAGTTAATTCGAACTTCCTCTCGTTGGATGAGATTCATTCTCCGAGTATCCGGCGTAGGCCTACGCACAGCATTCTACCCAATTTAATAAACTCTTCTAAATTACTCGGACGGGGCTATTCCCTCGTTCAATCATGAATTTCCATGAAAATCCAGAGAAAATTCACTAAATTTCACTCAGACGTTTCCCAAATTCAATCTCAAGTGGGGAGAGTCCGACATGATATTTTAAGCTCAACTGTGTTCGTTTCTACTAGATTTTTTGCTTCGAATTTAACATTAAAAAAGCAAAATAGGAAATTTGGAAGTTTTGTTTCATTCTGGATTGAATAAAATGTATATTTCTCTGCGAGCAGCAAAATAATATCATTGTAGAGTCATATGTGGCACACGTGATCTCAGAAAACACCTGTACACGTGTGTCTTCTGTACGCTAGTACAGAAGTATATTTTCGATGGCACGCTCATTCCATTCTAAGCCGCTATGCAGGCACTAATCAACAAATGTTCTGTGTATCGAAGAAACTTTTCGGAAGATTAAAACGAAGTGCCATAAATTCTAAAGAGTAAATGTAGATAACATTTTGCCAAGGATATTTATACATTTTTCAAAGAAGAGTATGAACACGTCCCAGTGATGAACATATGTGACGACTTGAAATTGAACAAGGTGCAGTTTTACAATTATAATAAAATATACGGTTCCATTGTAATATTTTCACATTACAGTAGATCTCTTATGGCGAATTGAGTGAAAAATAGCTACTAAACTGATTCTTGTTTTATTTGAAGTTTTATTTAAATTACGAGACACAAGCTGGCCTAATCGACGCACAATGGATTGCCATCGACGGAAGAAAAAGCTGCGTAACAGGGATTGTGTATTAATAAAAGGTGCGTATCACTAAAATAGACCCGCATGAGAAAATCGTGTGTAGATCCATCCAGGCAGAGGCGACGATTATCACGAAATGACCAAACTATTTCCAAGTGCAAGCTGACGGTTGTACAGGAGCACATTCTGTGGCATAGGGGCATACCGCGTGCACGTATTAATCAACGAGCTGTCCTTTTCCTCCATTTAAACTCTGTACGACCATCGTCATTCTTCGCCAATTTGCACGACTGGATCTACTCACGGTCCTTCGATCAATTAGTAATTGCTCGACTAATGATACGATTTTCAAGCCTAGATGTTTGTACAGTTACAGATGGCATCGACGTCGAAGACAATCGAAATGTCTTTGTTTCCCAATGATTCACCAACTCTGACCACCAACTATTTGGAATGATAAATCTATTTGCAGCAGTTCTACTTTGCATAAGCGATAATATTTAAAATAATATCGTGGAAATGTGGTATATACGCATAGTATGTTGTCTCACGCGCGCTGACAATTTTCTTTGCAATGTGTAATTACAAAATATTTATACTTCTGTTAAATTAAAAGTAAGTGAAATTAGTTTAAAAAAAAGAAGCGTAGCAAGATCATTTGTTTATTGAAAAGGGGACGCTACGATAAAGTTGGAAAAATGGGAAGATATTTCGAATGGGAGGATATTTCGATTTGTGACCGTAACAACGGGCGGGAAAAGAACGCACTCGTTGCTATGTTCGCAAATTAAGCTATCTTCCCGACAGGTGTCTCGAGACTCGCGAGAACATTACGTCTATGAATTGAATAAATGACCCGATGCTACGTACGCATATCTTTCATAGGGAACAAACACGTCATTTTGAATTTTGAAGGAAAACTCGAAAGAAAAAGAAAGTTGCGTTTACACGTAACGAGATAAGAAAGATCGTTTGAGTAATGGTCATGGGAAATTCGAACTTTAGTCCCATTTAGACGTATATATTTGGGCCTGCATTTGGTCTAACGCAGTCAACGGGCAATTGTCGAGGATAGAAGAGCCTGGCAGAAAAGCTGCCACGTTACTTTAATTTGCTGATCTGTCTGTTAAGTAGTAGTGCCGTAGATGATGATTTAGAAATTCACCTCGGCACAATTACTTTTCACACGGAAAATGCCACAATTGTTAATGGATACGTCAATTTATTCGATATTTCGAAAGCAATAGCAGGTAATTCATTTTATATATCAATGTTCAATCTACTTACGAAACACTTTGCCCACTCTCAAACGGTTCGTTGCGATAATCCTCGAGATTTTAAGTACGTTCTTTTTTATTTCCGATTCGCGGCAAGTTTCTAAACACGTAACACGTTAAACGAATTACTATTACTGCTCCAAACGATTCGTTCGTGGATAAAAACCACTTATTCCACTTATAAAAGTAAAATATATCCGGAAAACGGTTAATAACAACGCGGGAAATCTCACCTCCAAAAATATACTCAACCGGAAGGGAGCCTCTCGACCAATCAACATCGCGAACGCTTCATCATCCGTGCCCGCGACTCTCAACTGACACTACGAAAGTCACGACAGAGTTCATTGTGAAATGTACATTTGTTTAATTCTACAAATAAACAAAGAAACAAATTATCTATCGCATTTTTCAATTTCTTGGACTTCTGTATTGTTTAAATAAACCTGAAACTAAATTGAATATTATTGAGCGAGTCTTACATTATATATCGTGTCTTACGCCTAACGTAGTTATTCAAACGCAACGGTGCAAAATAATTTCAATTCGCAAAAAAATGGAAGTTTGACACTATTTAGTAACTTAAATACGTTCCTCTTTGTCAAAATCGGTGTTAAAGTCACTTTTTCATTCCATATCGGAATTCGCATATTTCCGCGGTAGATTTGAATTTCCGTTTGCTGACAATTCCATATCAATGGTCAAATCTCCAAGCATGTGGTAATTTGATCTGTAAGTGAAGGTTGAAAAGCACTGTCATAGAGAGGTTGTGTCATCAGCCGCGCGGTTCAAATCGTGCGCCAAGGCAAGGCAATAAGGATTTGGTGAGCCGGTGAATGGTTTGATAACAAGCGATGGAAGGCAGGCACGGGGGAGAACGCGCATTGCCCGTCGGTTGGCGGACCATTCAGTGACGCGATTCTTCACTGTCCGGCACTGATTTCAATTGGTAAATTGATTTGGAACGACGGCAAGAGGGAGAGAGAGAGAGAAAAAGAGAAAGACAGGGTCAGACGGGGAGAGGAAAGATGATAAAGAAAGAGTCATACACCACCACCGTGACTAGGTGTACCGTCACACAGCGCAGAAAACCATGGCGGTAGCAGTGGCAGTACCTCTCTTGCGAACGGTTAATAGGTACTGAACGCTGGTTGAATGCTTAATGCACCGTGCTTCTAGGATTAAATTGACCAATCATTTCCCGCGCGGTAAGGAGCGGCCAATTACAGCGCTCGTCCGACTATATTAAGCCAATCAAGAACAGTTTATCGCTCAGTCGTCAGTCTGCAGTTGTGATGCGTGTGTCGTGCGCGTGTTTTTCCTTCTTCTCTCTTCTCAAATGATTCTTAAACATTGTGAAACAAACGAATCGCGTGAAAGAAAGAAAAAAAAAAGAAAGAAGAGGAACGTTTGTCACGAATTGCTCGTGATTGTCTGCTATTTTTTTTTAACGTTTAATCGTTCAGTGATTCAGATCGCCTTTCATTTACCTCTTTTAGGCGCGGTGATTTTTTTTCGCAAACATTTAAAATTGCTTGACTGAGTCCGAACAATATCGAAGTCGCAGTTTGTTTAATTGAATTTTGAATATTTCGTTATTTGCAGTTATTCGTCGAACGTGCGGGGAAGAACTGTGTAAAAAAAACGCAAGAGAAGCACGTGAAAGAGCTTGGAATGATATGCATTTTATTATATACGGCCTGTACGATAAGCTTATTCATTTCTAGTGACGGTTTGTATTTCGATTTTGTAAGATTGCTTTTTTGTGATTAACGTGTATTTTCTCTCTTTGTTAACTTTTCATTGATCGATTGAACTTGAAATAATTCGATAGTCTTCTCGAAACTCCTGTTCGAAACAACAGTGTGGTGTTACTGAAAGATTTCGACAATATTCGAACAACGTTAAAAGAACTTGAATGAATGAACGTCGAATTATTCCGAAGAATTATGTAGCTACACCGACTTGTTACATTAATAAGTGCGAAAGAATGCATCAATGGATACTAGTGTCAAATAGAAGTTAGAGGTCATGAGATTTCCTCCAATTGTTCAATCAAGTCAGACTATTTTATTTCTTTGAACACCATGTGCAGCCAAGTAATACATACATATATCTATATTTTTTTATAGTTAAAATTCGAAGTACATCAATATTTTTAGTCTTATTATTATATGTAATTAAAATCATTGACTCGTAATTTATTATATTATATTTTACAGCTTCACATCAATATACAAACGTCGATACAGTATTTCGTAAAAACTTTCAAGTATCACTGATCACGTGCTTCACACCGTAGGAAATTCATTGTTTAGCAGTCCACCGCAATGAGGTTCCGATTGCACGCGTTAGATATACATATATAACAGAAGCATATTCTTATTTCTCTCATAAATACATTCACCGTCACGCAAACAAAATTAACTCTTAAGCTATCTCCGATGAATATTCTACTACTAATATAAGAGTTCCGAGAAACGTTGATCTAATAAAATTAGTCGAAGCTAACGAAATTTCATCCACATAGCTGATCGATCGGCTTTTCTTTTTTCGATTGTTCAGTCTAGAAATCAGATTGCATGAGTCACTTTTCTACCTCTGTATCCGCAAATTAGATAGAATTTTTCGAAGTATATTTTCCTCGCTTACAACATCTGAGAAATGAGATCATATGTGACCACACGCATAACAACCTCGCAAAAGTATCGTTTCAATCTGACACTCGATGAAACGCATAGAAGTCTCGAGAAGAAACAAGGAGAAAAAGAAGACGAATGCGATATCCTCGCGTAACAATCGCGGAAACGATAAAAGAGACGAAAACTCCCATGAAAACAAGTGACTTCTCTTGCATTGCCAAGAATGTGTTAGAGGCACGACGACTTCGTTGTTTAACAGATTGCCATGAAAGGAAACGTAATTGGAGACATTTTGTTATTCTGAAAATATAACGGCACGCAGTATGCGTTGGTTAGACTTTATCGTCGTGACTTCTTGACCCCTCTCGAATGATAGTATAAAACACGAGAAACGGGAGCCTCGAAGAAAATCGAGTTCCTAGAATTCAAATATAACTAAACTTTCAAACAAAGATCCTTCAATGAGAGAGAATGTAATAAAATTTTTCTTCGCTTTCTTTCTTCTATATTTCGCTCGCGTTCTGCGTTTCGTTTGAGAATGACATAACCTCTATGCATTAAAAATTATAGTCGCTGCAGAAAAATCGTAAAATATGTTGATCTTGTTTCGAAACGCGTCGTTCTTAAAATAGAATATTTTCGGTCGCGGAGCTGAAACAGAGGTCATGCTTTTCAAGGCCCCGCGAATTTTTATACAAAACACCGCCTGTGTTTCTCGAGTAATAGTCAACTTTTTCAAGTATTATCTCAAAGGCGAAGAAGGGCTCGAGTTTTTGCCATTTGAAGAGTATTTCCTTCGTTCGTTTCTTGGAATTCCTCCTCTGCTCGTTCTGTCATCCACCCACAATTTGCGCATCGTAGCCTAATAAATTGACGAGTTATTTCACGAATACCCAGAGGGAGCCGACATTAACAGAAATTAGCGTTAATTGATGGTATTCTCCTTCCCTTTTCGTCCTCCTCGTTTTTCTCTCTTGCCCTCTCTACTTTCCAGATGATCTCGCGATCTCCTTCCCTTTCCTATGAATCTCGTATCTCATTTTTGCATAGTACACCGTTTGTACTTTATCATTTTTGCTCGTCCCCTTTCTCTTTTATTCCAACCATCTTTTTTTTTTTTTTTTCGTAGCATATATACTCTCTCATTTGGCGCATCCGAGTCGACGAACATCGAAAAAACAATTCACTGAAAGTACGCACGAACGTTGTATGTGAAACATGCGGCAGCAGAAGACGGCCACGCGTCCAGCTGAATCTGCAACAGCCGCAACATCGAAGTAATCCTCTTTGGCTTATGACGACTTTGCATTTTTAACGCAAACAGTTTGAAACAAACCTCATGCTGTGTTCTTACTGTTTCAAGTATGAGACGAGTCGAAGAAAAACGGATTGTTTGAATTGTTTTTCTAAGTTTCGATAGTATATGAATGTTCTGTCTGAAGTTCCGGAGCAGTTCCATGGAAAAAATTGTTCGCCAACCTCGAGTTATGCCATGGAGGCGAACGATGAATACGGTGTTTGATGAAACGAGAGGCGTTAAGTAGGGTCGCGGGGCAAAGAAATCAAAGATTCGATTGTAGACTCTCCCTCTCTGTCGTGCGTGTATACATTTCCGTACGCGATATTACTTCCAATCCTTCGTTTCTTTGCTCCGATTTCATTCTCGATTTTTTTTTTTTTTTTCACATCGAAACAGTTTATTATATATTTTATTTTAAGGACCAAAATGATGTACCTATCTTCCTATTTTGCAGTACAATTTATCTGAAAAGAAAAATCTAATTTACTCTACGGTGTTTCAATTGCAACTAATTGAACGCGCTAATTGAAATTGTCAATATAATGCTTATGCAGTTCTAGGATATCTTCGGAAGCATTTTTGATACATATGGATATAATGCTTGTGCAGTTCTAGGACATTCTTCGGAAGCAGGCTAAATTATGTGTGGGAAGCATACAAATTTTCAAAACAGAAGCAACAAGTTTCAGTCCGGGACGAAAGCTCAACGTAAAGCACGAAATTTTTTCGGAGACGAGCAAAGGAAGAATGAACAGAGGCTGAAATAGTGGGCGACTTTAATGACTACTCGAGGTCGCTTCAATGAGTACTACTGTGTGTCATTGCATCATTATAGTGTGTACGATATATAGTGTACAGTGTACGGTACCACGTCCGGACTAATAATTATAACATATATCTTTTATTGTCCGCACCGTTTTGTAATGATTTTATCAGTATAAGTATCAGTTTTATACGATGAGATTTTCCTTTGTTTCTTCTTCTTCCTTCTTTTTAATTAAAATTCTTGACTAATTTAGTATCAAATAGATATTAATTAAAATATTTCAATTATAATTAAAATTTTTGACTAATGTAATGTCAAATAGATATAACCGTAATAAATCAGATATTTATAATTAAAGGGGGAAAAAATTTAATAATTAGATTCAATAATTATGTAGAAAAATGTTGCAAGCAAGGATGTTTGTAAGATATATTTCATAAATAGACTTAACTCAATTGACTTAAGACTTCTATCCCTTTCATAAAATGATTGCAGTGTGCATGCAGTGAATGTGTCATGCAATATCTATGAACTACCGTATTCTTCTGCCGATTATCTAATCTCGCGCTAAATTATAACGAAACGTGGGCACTTTATATTAAAATCTCTCCTTTGGCCTGTTTAATTGTCTATTAATCGATAAATTCAATTTTACTTACCTAATTAAAAACTTAAATTAACAATTCGAAACAATTCAAAATGTAAGAAATAAGTAATTAATTTTATAATAATTTATAGGGGTATGTCACCATTGCGTCATCAAGATTGTATGGCTATCATAACAACGGAAGGACCACGATACATCGGAAGTTAATCCTGTCTTGTTCATAAGTACTAGTGCCGCAGGAGTGACTAGGTTGGGTTAAAAATTGCCATATCTCCTGCTGCTCAAGTGCTTATCAATGGGTCCGGACTCACATCTATCTTTCAAATCGTGTATTGAAATAAAAACCTGTTTAAAATGAAATTTTACAGATATCACCTAAATGTACAATGTAAAAGAAATTATAATTTGCGTATATTAATGTAATAATAATGAATAAATATTCTATTTCATATTTATAATTAATTGTTCTATGTAAATATATTAAAATAATTTTTAAAAAACCACGCGCAAAGAATGTATTCAATATAAATGATGAAACTTCTACGTTGAAAAAGAAAAAAAAAAATTAGTTTGGAGGAGCTGGGATTTGAACCCAGGACTTTCAGCATGCGAAGCAGACACTCTACCACTGAGTTACACCCCCTGTTGTAAACTCTATCTTTTACAGAGTTTAAATGGTACAATTTCATTATTTAAATAATAAATTTCATTAATCTTGATATTTATTATCAAAAAATCATACATGTTATTTCTATAATTCTTAATGTTTTATTCTGTTATTATAAAAATTTAAGTTATAAAATACCATTTTAACAAAGTAATACATTTTTATACTTATCCTGTGTTGATTCGGATAAAATAAATAAAACATGTTCATTCTATATATTGTTCCTTTTACATATAATCAAAGGTATACTTTCCAATATATATATATATTTATATTTATAAAAGTAAATGTCAATAAATAAATATTCTATTAATATTTGTATCAGGTACTGAAACTTTCATTTATAATGTACCTAGTTTAGAGTTCCATTAAATTAATCATAATAGGTTAAAACAAAAAGAGAAGACATACAAATAATTCGATTTTATTCATCCCTTTATGGGAATAGCTACTGCAACCTAGCTATTTACAACCTGTATGCAAGATATAGTCTTGTGAGTATACTTTATAAGTATACTTGTGACTATTTTACTCTATACATATACCTGTTTGAGATAGTAGGTAAAAACCAAACTTAGATCGAACTCGAACAATAGTGTATATATAGGAATATTTAGTACATCTTGTAAGGAAAAGAGGGATAGATGAGACTGATGCAAACGTTGAAAAGTTGCGCGTATAGTCTGGCGCTTTAGTCGCTTCGCTAATTGTGAATTTAGATACTAGAGATAAGTGCGGTTCTGCCAGGTTCTACTGATGTCGCAACAATTCAATCTAACCTCCGAAAAAAACTAACAGCGTCCTACTGAAGTAACTGTCAGTTCACGGTACGTCATCGTAAAGCGATTCTACTAAGGTTATTTCGTGTATTCCTGATTTTTGTTAGTTCGTTAGCCGATGAAGGTTTGTTTTCCACCTCTTAATATTTTATAACCGATTACGTTCAGCTTGTTTAACTGTTTTCTACTTTCAGCAAATCTACATCTATGACACATGGCTAGTAAATCGTTACTAGATGGTAAATTATAAAAATTTGAACACGTCGAAAATAAGGATAAGAATAGTGTCTTAATTCGAAGAATTTGAACGGTATTCGCCACGGCTTTCACAGACATGGTTGGATTGGCGGGCGGGGGAGGTCATCTGTATCCCTCGCCCCCAATGCAACCTAATCCAGAATGTAAGTTCTAACAATATATATATAATTATTTATAAATATCTTAAGTTTTCATATTTTTTCAATATAGCTAATACTCATTTTTATTATTGTTTTGATGTAAATATTTTTATACAGTGAGAGAAATGACTGGAATCGCTCCTAGTGCACCGACTAGCGCTGATGCCTGTTTAAGTATAGTACATTCTCTCATGTGTCATCGTCAAGGTGGTGAAAGTGAAGGATTTAGTAAAAGAGCCATCGAGTCTTTGGTTAAAAAACTTAAAGTATATATTTTTCTTTAATTACATGTCAAGAATTTGATCAGTATTTATAATATAATTTATATTTCTTAGGAGAAAAGAGATGAATTAGATAGCTTAATAACCGCTATTACTACAAATGGAGCTCATCCTAGTAAATGTGTTACAATACAGAGAACTCTGGATGGTAGGCTACAAGTTGCTGGTCGTAAAGGATTTCCACATGTTATTTATGCACGAATTTGGAGATGGCCAGATTTACACAAGAATGAATTGAAACATGTCAAGTACTGCCAATTTGCTTTTGACTTAAAATGTGATTCTGTATGTGTGAATCCATATCACTATGAGAGAGTTGTATCTCCTGGCATAGGTATGTCATGAAACATATCTTTTATCTTGTTTTCATAGAGAGATCATGTGCTTCGATCAATGTTTTTTTTCATTACATTGTTTCTTTGCAAAGCTTCTGTGAATTCATTTGTAGCACCATAAGTGTAAATGATTTATTGTTGTGGCCTTGGTGTATGATGGAATGGGTTGGTTTCCCCGCACAGACCCGTTCTTTACAGACCTATCTGGACTGACTCTGCAATCGGGAGTAGGCGTAGGACCAGGTGGCAGATTAGTCAAAGATGAGTATTCAGTTGGTGGTGGAGGAAGTGCAGCAGCTGGAACAGTAGGATCTGCAATGGATGTTGATGGAGAAATGAACCAAACTATTCAGCATCATCCACCTGCTCAACCTACTTCGTCTAGTAATGCTCAATCATCTCAACAGACTTTTATACCAGGTCTAGCACCGCCTAATCCAAGTGAGTAAAATATTTTCTTTATTTTTTGAAAAATATACACATCTAATATAAAAATGTTATTTCTTAATGATTATCATATATTAAAAATATACATGTTTATAATATTCATTGGTGAAATAATCATATTTGACTATATCAAAATACATTTATAACTTAGTTGATATATGTTTCTGAATATGGAGTATGTTGATTTATTTAAAGAAAAGCATGTTTATGTTATTAAAATCTTAAAATATGAGGCAGTGCACTAAAATACATAAATTAAAAAAGCTTTGTTATTACAGTATTGTATCGTTAGGAAAGTTTATTTTGTTGTCTGCAAACCATTTATTAATATTGCTTTATTCAGAATTATTTTGCATTGCTAGTTTGATTTCATTTTAGCTTTATTCTTTCTTTTTCCTTTTATTGTTTGGCACAGCTAGTGGTGAGGGTGTGTTTGGCAGTAATGGGGGAGGGAATAATGGTGGTAATCCGCACAGTAAATTGGATGACAATAATTGCCCCAGACAAACCTGGATTCCTACACCTCATCATCCTACAACACGTAATATTCATCATCGTACGTACTATATAATAGAATGCTTTCTTACATTCTATTTTCTGTCTATTTGCCAGTTAATTTTTGTTGCTTTCTGCTAATTTTATAAAAATTCGTAGTGATTTTATATGATAATTAATTTCAGAAATTCTGGCCGTTTGAGTTAATTGTTATTTTATATTATGTTGCCTGCATTGTGTACGAGTTACATTTAATTTTGCAGCAGTAGTACATCCAATGAGTCACACCGTAGGTAGCCAACAGCAGTCATTGAGTACATCTAGTGGAGGCAATGGGGCACAGATGCTGAGTCCTTCACAAGGGCAGTCTAGTGAAACATTTTATGGAACAAATACACCTCCTCAAGATCTTAATCAACCACCTACTGTTGATGCATTAGCAGCATCTTTAGGTATGCTATTTCAGTTTATTATCCTATTATCCTATTGAATCTCAATTTCCTTTTTTTAACAGGCGAAGGTCAAAATTCTCCTGTATCGCCTGTACATCTTCATCATCCAAATGGATTTCCAGTAGGTACAGCTGCTTATAATTCAGGAGCACCACAATGGACTGGACCCAATACTCTTACATATACTCAAAGCATGCAACCTCCAGATCATAGACATCTTCATCCTACTTCCTATTGTGAGTTATTGATAAACAGTATATTATATTATTCTAACAACAACCATAATTGATCATCTTTATTAGGGGGCAGCCATGCAGGTGAAGTAGGTGGAAATATCGGTGGTTTACTATCTACACAACCAGCTCCAGAATACTGGTGTTCGGTTGGCTACTTTGAATTAGATACTCAAGTGGGCGAAACGTTTAAAGTTAGCAGCGGTTGTCCTACCGTAACAGTAGATGGTTATGTGGATCCAAGCGGTGGTAATAGATTTTGTTTAGGAGCTCTGAGTAATGTACACAGAACAGAACAAAGTGAAAAAGCTCGTCTTCATATAGGTTAATAAATTATTCCTTCTTTGATTTTTAGGTAATTAATGAACAATAATTATAATGCCATGAACTTTTTAGGAAAAGGAGTTGTATTAGATTTAAGAGGCGAAGGAGATGTTTGGTTAAGATGCCAAAGTGAACATAGTGTCTTTGTACAGTCTTATTATCTAGACAGGGAAGCAGGTCGTGCACCCGGTGATGCTGTGCATAAAATTTATCCTTCTGCATATATTAAGGTCTTCGATTTGCGGCAATGCCATAAACAAATGAGAGGACAAGCTGCTACTGCACAAGCTGCCGCTGCGGCACAAGCTGCCGCTGTAGCGGGACACCTTACACACGGAGCGCCAATTACTAAAAGTTAGTATAATATCAATTGGTATATAAATTATATGTTTCATAAATTATATGTTTCACAATTTTTAATTAACAATAAACTTTACAATGTAATAAAGGTCTTAGTGCAGCAGCAGGAATAGGTGTAGATGATCTTCGACGACTTTGCATTTTGCGTTTAAGTTTTGTGAAGGGTTGGGGCCCTGATTATCCTCGACAAAGTATAAAAGAAACTCCATGCTGGATAGAGGTATACATAAATTCTAGATTTTCACATCAATCGTAAATTATTTTAAAAATTAAAAAGATATAAAACTGTATATCCAATATAGGTGCACTTACATCGAGCTCTTCAGTTACTAGATGAAGTTTTGCATACTATGCCAATAGATGGTCCACGGGGAATTGAATAATTTTATTCAATTTTGAATAATACATATGTTACAAAAAAGACATCACATTATTACAGACTCTGCATCAGGTGTGCAAAATACATACTTGTACAATACTGTGCAGTATTATTAAAGATTTTGAAATGAAATCAGCAAAATATTGATTCAAATAAAATAGTATGCGCTTTCATTCAGAAAAAAATGTTTGAGATTTTTATTGAAATTTTTTATATATTTTACACACATAATTTTTCGTGTAGAATAAAAGGTATATCACGGCCTTGCATTACCATTAACGTACAAACGTTTTGCAAAAGAAATCTTATTTTTCATTATGAAAAATTATTTTTTAAGAAAATATAAATGCATCTACATGAAATGAGGGTAAAATGAGAGATTTCTATTTTAATAGGCAGTCATTATCTTGTTTAAGGGGATAAATACATTTTCTATGGTATGGCCTGGTAAGCTCAGTAAAATGCATGGATAAAAAATGCGTGATACTTTCGGAAACATTAATAGTCATAATCTCGTTTTCTGAGATTAGCTTTGTAAAATAGCATAACCGACATATATCTTATCTAAAGAATGATGATAAATTTTAAATTCACTGTTTATGTCAAATATAACACCAATGGGTTATATGCACAGTAGGAAGGTTTTCTAAGAATGCAATATATTTCAAAGTACTGTCGGATAACAGCTTTAGTATATAGAAATACTGCGATAAATATTATATAAGCCATTCTATAAATCTATAATGTCAAAGAAGACATAGTATATAACCAGAAAGAAATTTAATGAAAGCTGTTTGCATAATGAAATATTAATGGGAGCAATTAAATATTGAGAACATTGCATTAGGAAAGCATATTTTTATTATATTTGTACTGACAGTAGTTTGATACTATGTTGATAGAATAACCTTCTATATTGTCATTTATTTTATACTTTATAGCCAAAAAGTATCACTACATAAATAGCTGCAGTTTGATTTATGACGTTTTGTGTCTCCTCTTTTTTATTATTATTTTTCCTGTCTGAATATAAATAAATGCGATAGTTAGTATTATTATAATTATTAGTATAGTTGTTGGTGGTGAGACAAGATGAAAATATTTAAAACGTGGTACGAGCTAATTCTTCTAATCAACCACCAATGTTACTACTATTACTATGTAGTACTTGTTGAATAATTATACTTACTGTTTACCAACCATTTTATTATTCTATATTCGTACAAAATATTCTTATATATATATATGCTATATATAAGATGCTATATTTGATAATATTACCATACAGAGAAAACGTTGACCAAATTTTATACCTATCCATATATATATATATATGTGCATGTGTTTGTATGCGTTTGTATATATATATATATATAAGCGCCTATGTACACATATCGACATTTTATCTTTTCTTCCTTTATTCTAGATAAAGAGAAAAATTTACCGCTTGTTTTTATTAATTGGTGCACATTATAGTATTTTGAATTTTTGCTTCTTGTTGTAATTGAGTAGAGATTGTTTAGCTGTTGTGTTCACGTTATCGTCCATATATGTATTTTTTATGTTATACTTAATCAAGATCATCCTCATTGATACAGAAACGAATAGAATTTTGTACATATAGGCACATGTATGCGCATTGCGTTGCAAGTAAAAAATGGGCCATTCTTGATTAAGCAAGTATTGAGTTATTGCGAGATGTGTTATTCATATTATGTGAAGTTACATGTTACCTTTATAATGAAAACAGGTTGAAAGGAGAGTCTCTCTAACATCATTAAAAAGCATAAAGAAAGAAAAAAAAAGAGACAAAAGAGGAAAATGTTGTATAGTAGAAGTAACAAAAGGATGTGCATTTGTTAATAACGATCGAAGAAAAGAGTAATGTTAGTGACTAAATTTTTAGAAAGTCTGTATTTTAGCGATAAAATACACGAAACATAAATTGTATCGTTCTTTTTTTTCTAAATCAAAGGTATGGAGCTCAAATGGAAAACTCATATTTAAACATACTTAACGCCAAGTTCGCTTTAGAAAAACATGTGCCATCATTTTCATATACACCATACATAAAATAAACAGGATTAAAAATTTTTATAAATCCTATATTTTTACCATATTCGTAAAATGAGAATGCAACACATCTTTAAATTGTGGTGCTTTAGTACGTCCTATACTAATAGATTTTACAAGATCCAGAATAAAAATTTATACATCTAAATTAAGCTAAATTAAATCTATATAAGAATGTGAGATGGATTGTAAAAATTGATGCGTTTGAAACTATAATATTCTGAAATAGAATATGAAATAAGAAAAGAATTGATGTATGGGATACAATCTAAAACTTAGAAACTTTATAACAAGAAATATTCTATAATCGTGTTCATATGATGTTTTAATAATGCCTCCAAACAATAGTTTCTTACATATATTAAAAGTGGTATCAAAGTGCAATAGCCCTGTCTCATGTCAAAGATACCATAGCTGATAGTTGTATGTAAATTAATAAAATGCCTATGTAATTTATGTTCGTGATTGAAAAATGATAATGATAATAACTATAATTATTACCGCTTTTTCTTTCAATTTTGTCAAGGTAATATATTTAGTATACCTTGTTATTTAAAAATCTTAATTTACTTCAATGACGAAGCCCATATTTATATTACATCATCTATTTTATATTTAATTTTACTATTTAACGTTTTATAAATAATAACTTAATAAATGAAAAGATTTGTTACGTTTGTTCAATTGTTATTAATAATTTCTTCTGGCTTTTAATACAAGGCTTCGTTATTAATTATAGATTTCGAAACATAAAGACTTGTTCTTAAACATTAGGAGCATAAACATAAGCACGTACAATAAATATAGAATTATACATTTATAATTGATATTCATAATTTAAAAAAATTGTAAAATAATAGTTTCACATACTTTTTTTACTAAGTTTTACAGTTAAATTTAAACGCGAATCATTTTCATAACATAATTGCATGTTATTCATATATTTTGAAATAGTTGGAATTTGATTGTAAAGCGGCGATCTAATTATCATTGTTTGTGTTTTAAACAAATTGTGTATATTTAAACCAAAGATATTTCGACGACACGATTACATCATTATATGTTACGAATATATATATGAAATGTAAAAGTAATTATTCTTAACAAATACGTCGCAATACATAATGCAAGTAGAAATGCATATAAACATTTTAAACCACATGTTGAAACACAATATCATTCAGGTATAAAATTTTCTGAAGTTGGAGTTACAATATTTCAGTAAATGTTATAAAATCATATGAATTACAAATTAATATCTGTGATTATCGTCAATACAGAAAAAGTATGTAATCATTTTTAGCCATAAAACATTTTTGTGTAAAACTGTACGACGATAATACATTATTAGATTGTTAACAAAAATTGTGCAAAGCGTAAGTTGCAACAATAGACAGAGCATTATTGCAAAGATAAACAGACTATGAGATCAGAGATAATTAATACAACAATGTCTGTATATCATATTGTAAAGCTCATATACTTACTTGAATGAATGTGTTTACAAGATTTTTGTTATTGTATATTATAAATACATTATATTATACATGATCATTTTCAATAAACATATTCTGTGAATTAGACAAAAATGTATTGAATTGAATATAAAGAGGAAAGTAAATATACAAATATAGCTATCAAAGATCACTGTTTATTGATTTATTTGTTATAGTACAAGAAATTTATCATATAACATCTACTTTACAATTTGTTAGATGATTCAACTTTAGATTTAGTTTTATAAAAATTACCTTTGAGATCAATTGCAACATTATGTTCTGTAATATTTTCCAATGCATTTACAATAGCTTTATCTACATTTTCAGGTGTAATAAATGTTTTAGCTTCTTCTTTTGCTTTTCTGATTTCTTCATCTATTTTTTCTAACATTTTCGAATCTCTTTCCTTTTTCGCTTGTACTTTCTCAAGAATTTCCTTTCGACGATCTTCTCTTTCTTGAGTTAATCTTTTTTCTCGCATCATAGCTACTTTTTTATTCCATTTATCATTTATTTGACTACATATTTCAAAATCTTTTTGTGCATTTTTTTCTACAACAAGTTTATCGAAACAAAGCTCTCTTTCTTTTTCTGTTTCAATGAAGTAAGTCCTGAGACAAAAGAATATTTTATATATATCTAGTTGATACATAATCATAAATAATATTAAAAATCTTACATACATTAAAGACTTCATGTATGTCCTGTAATTATTATGTAAACGTTTAAGTTCAATACTTTCTTCTGTAGGTATAACTTTTCTTTTTGGTACTCTAAATAACTTGGATTTTGCTGGTGGTAACCAAATTGGTTTTCTTTTCCATCTTACGCATTGAATATTAGGTCCATTGGATATTATATGATCGTAAGCATTTAAGTTTCGTACTGTTAATACATTAACACCAAATTGCACTGACAGTCGTATCATTATTTTAAATTAATTTTCTATTATAATGTAACTTTTTCTAACAGAAACTTAAGATTATACTACACTGTAAAACATGTATTTAAGTTTTTGTTACGGTATTATAATTATTTTATATTTTATATTTATATTTTACTGTGTAATTGATAATGTATAGCTTTATTTTGTATTATTAAAAAATCAATGTGTTTTTACGACATTTTTATCTAATACAATAATCGAATTAGGTTAGGAGTATGTTATTGCGAAGAAATTTATTTTCAACTCTTTATTATCTAGATGTCGTTTCTGTATCAAGCGATTCCCATATCATGTAGGATATTAATTTCAATTTAATTTAAGAATCATTATATTTATATTATACACGTGTATTTTATAATTTATTGAAAATAGCTAGAAAATTTATTACATAATGTTAAATAATTTATTGAGTAAGATACCGTAAAAATGATATTTTAATTTTTACTGTCAGAATTTAAAATAATTATTTTAATCGCGTGCGTGAAAGAAAACCAAGTTTTATTACTATATTTTTATTATATAAATATTTTCATTGAATTTTTTCGGACTTGCTTATAAAATTGACATTTGAAAGTATTATTAAAATTATATTGTTTATGTATATGTATATATATAAAATGAAAGATGCGGTGAAATAATTAGTCTCGTTTTTTGAGAACCTCATTAGATACAGGGCGAATGCGCCACAGCACTTACCTACATAGCGGTATTGCTTTTTTTTTAAAAGCAGTAGTGTCAGAGATCTTGGTCTAGCAAGTACCGTCTTCATTTCGTATTTCGAATTCATCCGTTTACACTTCTTACTAAATTTCAAATAAAATATTAATTATTTAAGTCAGAAGAACAAAAAAGAAAGCGTAACAACCTTTTACCGAAGAAGTGCGAAATAAATATTTTCTGCAGTTATTTAAAAAGGAAGGAAATAAAGATTTAATAAAAATTAAATTAAATCCGAAATTTAGAAGAAATGTATAGTGTTCATATGACACCGGGTAGATCTTCCGATAAACAGGGAACTTCAAAAAATGTGGATACTGAAGTGGGAGTATATAAAAATCGAAGAAAGGAATCAATACCCGTTAAGGTCTTCAATTATTTGAAAACACAAATGCAAACAGAAGGTATTTCGAGTAAGTGAACTTGATTACAATTTTGTTGAAGAAAATAAATCATAGTAATGATCACGTATTAAAAACGACTTATTATTATTTAATAAACATTACATTATCAAAAATTAGAAACTTTATAATGAATTATTTTCTCTTTTTTTTATTATACATTAGTGCGAGTAAGGTTTTAAGTAAATGTTTTATTAGACGTTTAAATTTGTGATGCTTGTTATTTATTTTTTAATAAAATATATAATGATATACATATTTATCGGGGATAAAGAAAATTAACGGAAGAAAAATTTTTTATTTTATTCTCTCTTTGTTTCATTTCTAATGAATTTCTTGAAGTACTCTTTTTTATGATTATTAATCTTTCGCCTTCGTTTCTTTATCCTCGTTTTATAAAAAAAAATTGCATGTTTTTCTGTGTATGCTCGATATACTCTTTTTTGCCAGAATTGTATTCTTATAAATACTAACTTAAGAAAATCAGAATCCTACTTTTTTCGGGCTTTTAATAACAATATATTGTTTTAATAATTAACATTAATATTAACATTATATTAACACTTTCATTTAAGTGAAAAAATAGTTTTACATGATCGTTCAACATAATGAATCTTTTTTTTTTCAACAAGATTAAACAAGATAATATAATCTCCTATTGATCATGTTGGACTTTGCATTATATTCTTAAATATATAAATAATGTGTAATTACCTTTTTTCATAATGTGTAATTATTTTTTTTTTATAAATTACATAATATCAATATTTTTCTTATCTCTTCTCTTTTCTGATAATGATACATACAATTTTATGCGCTACTAAGAATACAATTTTCTTTTATCGACTTTAATTTTTAGAAGAATCATCTGTTTGACTATCCAATGGTTCAGTATTTATCACTGAAAATAAACAATCTGAAACTTCAATCTTTAAATCCTCACATATATTTACATCCTTTTCGGCTGTCATTTCGTAATTCGAATAATTATTCGGCCAAACTTCGGAGATCGAATCTTCGCTTTCCGCAATTTCACTTTTTGCATCATCCACAACTGATTCTCTTATATCAGAATTACTATTTGACATCGGCGTGTATAGTATCCGAGACTCATCCATAGTTTCCCTAATTTTAGTTTGTAAATTAGCCATTCGCATCCCGGACGAAGTATCATTGTAGAGTAACCAACACGGAGAAAAGGAATGTTGCCTATATTCTGCAACAAATTTCTTTTTTTGGGAGCAAGTTACACTTGATGAGACTGGTGTATGTGTAACAATAGGGGCTATGTAACAATATACACAAGATGTCTGATCTAATTTTGACAAATCTATACGTTTAGTATTAATGAAATTCAAAATATTTTCTAAAAAAGAATCTGAAGGCATCTTAGAGTTTTTTTTTGGCCAAAATGGATCTAGTATTTCTAAAAATATGAAAAATATTAAAATGTATTTTTTTTTTTGCATTTAATATATAATTTTGAAATAATAGTACATACCATTTGTTTGTAATTTTTCTGACATATTAGACATATCCCTATGAACATTGGATTCTGTTTGCACTATGGAATTACAATTTTGTTCAGATTGTCCCACATTTTCAGATAATGGAATGGTTCCTTGATTATTGTGTGAGCAAGAGTATTCATGTGATAGATTAGAACTATAGTTATTGTTAGAAAATGTTTGGGCAGTAGATCCATATGTTTCTTGATCTGTATTTGCATTTGAGAAAGAATGCATATACTGCAAATATTCTCCAGTAGTTTCTGTACTACATTTAATTAAATTTTGTAAATAATATGTATTATTGCAGTCAGATTGCACCTGAGGAATAATGTTTGTGTCACAATATTGATTATCTTCTAATGGATCCAAGTTCAATAAATTTTGATTGGAATTGTACGGATGTACAGTTTCTGCCATTCGATACTGACATGTTAAACTTTCATCATTTATGGGTTTGTTTAAAGCATCAGATCCTATATTATCATAATACATAGTTTGAAATATTTTTGATGATTGGACATCTGATGTTGGACAGTTGTTATCTGAGGCATTCATAACATTAGTAATAGTCCAATTTTCATAGTCTTGATGCATAACGACATTTGTGTTAGGATATTTATATTGACTAACATTTTCATTTGTTAAAACATTTGAAATTTGTTGACCAATTTCTTCAACATTTTTAACAAAAGTTGGTTCATTTAAAAAATATTCCCCCTTTATACCACTCAGAAGACCATAACACTCTGTATTGTTTTCCAAAATTTCCTCATTATCTTGATTATCTGATTCAGCAGTTAAAGTATCAGAATTATCTAACAAATTGTTGGATTGATATTGTTCCACTGACAAAAATCTGCCAAATACAGGACTAGCTATTTCTCCCAAATTTGCACCAACTGGTGCTTGTAACATTTTTTTAAGAAGTATAGGTCCTTGCACATTGTTATCTTCTAATGTTTGATATTCTACATTGTCATTTGGTTGATATACAGATGAATCTACATTATTAACAGGAACTATATTAGACTTATTATAGTCACTAATATCCAAAGAACCTTTTTGCACATCAGATGAAATTGTTGCTGTTCTTAGATCCACTATGGTTGAGTCCTGTATCTGATTATTATTTGCATCATATGTTTGAAATTCTCTCTGTATTCTCTTTATTAAGAACTGTTTAAATTCTTCATAATGAGGGATTCTGTTGTCATCATCTCTATTTGTGATCTCTTCTTCTGCCCCTACCTAAGGACATAACATTACATTTTACATTTTATATTATACTTTATTTAAAAATTTTCAACTATTCTATACATCTCTTTATTGACAGTTTCTTTAAAAATGAAATTATTAACAGCACAAAATACAAAATTTTCAATAAAATTGATTGATGATCGATCTATAGAATTATTCATGTTCGATATATAATATTCTGTCTCAAGCGTCATCGATCAATTTTCGAGACGAATGTGAGATTTCACGATGCAATATTTAAAGTTCTTTCTTTTCAACTTTGGATGTGCATTAAAGCAACGAAACTATGAATGAAAATCAACTCACCCACTGATAAGGTGGTTGCTGCTGCGGACAGTAATAATCATCGGCCATAGCGTAATCAGGACTATGTAATGGTGTGGAGGTTAACGCGAGTTTCCCGGCTTTGACTTTTCTCACTTTCCTCTTACGATTCTGCTTAAGATCTTGCAATAGCCTGCCAACTTCATTTTCATTTCCGCCTTTCGCGGCTTGCAACACTTTAACCAGTAATTTCTTCTACGGTCAGAAATCGTAATCGATCGTTCAAAAATCAATTTACTTGTCGTTTCAGGAAAAAGAATTAAGGTAATAGGAACAAGTATGTAAAGTTTCTTATTGAAACTTCTAACGATAAATCAATTACCTTTATGTTACCTGGTACTCGGTATCGAAGAGCTAACGCTTGTAATTCCTTGTATGATAAACTTGAAATATCGTTGCCGTTCATTTTTAAATGTAAAGCAACCCGGCAAGCAATCCTTCCCTCAGTACTCATACATTTCTGATATGGCCGATAGAAAAATTCGTCTGCTAACCGAATTACGCGGTTCTGTTTAATTCAAAAGTTTATTTAACCGAAAGTCAGATTCATATGAAAGTTATCTATCGTTATCAAACCGGCTTCCTTTCAAAGATCATTCTCATCTTGATCGCGAAAGGTTTCAAAGTGATTTTTCACTTTAATGTATTTCTATTTGTTGTTAAATTATTTTTCCAAAATTTATCCAAAACTTTACGTATGTTTTAGTGTAAAAAAAATTATAAAGAGCGAAGAAGTAAAACAAGTGGCTATGTATTATCTTATGCTCTCCTTTATTTATCTACATGTTAACAATTACACGCTCCTTTGTCACTAGAACGATTCCTTTGACAAGAAGTGCTATTATCCTGCCATCTATAAATCATAATTTTACGATCTTATCCTACCGATCGATAACACTGCTGATTTCGCTATTCACGTGAATAATTCAGTTGGTTGTCTAAATTTTCATGGATTTATAGTATTTTCAATTGACTCACTGACAAGGTTTGACATAGTTTCACCGCTGTGTTTATCGGCGATCGGCATAAACCGTAGTAATTGGTCTGCATTTACAATGATGTTTTTGGCTTGGTTTCAACTCGGTAATAAGACCTTTCCCTATTCCGTAGCGTATTTATAGTATTAAAGCTCGCGATGCATTAAATATTTTCTCTTTTCCGAATATTTCCCGAATAACGTACGATCTTATTATATTTGTTGTGAATAAACCGTAGATATTTATTTAGAAATTTATATTAATACAAACACGATTGAAAAAACAGGATCTATATAGAAATTTCCTCTGTTTCTAAATACTACAAGGGGCACTTGGATCTTTTATTATATACACCTTACGCGCATTTTTATGGTTTTAAGTTTTCTATAAATGTGTATAAAAATTCATAGCTCAATTCATAAGGAAAGAGTACTCGTGATGGGATGGATAAGTAAGTAGTATATTCAACGCATGCATCCACGCTCAGTAGAAAAGTGATTCATAGTCAGACGCGCTTAATGCATTTCGTAATGCTATACGAAAGTATACAAGAATGTAACTGCATTTTGTACGTGCATAAAATATGTAAGAAGATATCTCTTTATGCCTTATGATTTTATAACTTTTACGTAACTTTTTATAACTTATACACTGTTTTTAAAATCTTTATCATAGAAGAACGAAGAGATGGACTTTTTTCGGTCTTCTTTCATCTCGTAACAAAGTTCAGTACTTTTGCTTGGCTTTTGTTCCGAGTGAAATGACCATTCTATAGAATCCTCTTGTACGACAATTAAATTATCTTGCCATTTTAACGTTTGCCATTGAGACAAGTTGTCCGTTCAGCAAATTAATGGATCAAATTCAATATATTTTAGATTATTTTATTGCTCTCTTGAAAGAGAGAAAAAAATTGGCAAGGGTGGAATTTTAAAACGAAAACCCGTTTGATCGGAAATTTTTGCATGCACGCGAACGAATGCCGTATTTTATATGATGAAAGCTAAAGTCTTTCAAGTGAAAGAGATTTTAAATCAGTCTGACATTCAGGTGTCAGATTTTATGTAAAATATGGTTGGGAAAAAGAGTGTGGACTTGCGCGAAGGCAGGTACACCCCGTGCTTTTGCGTGGCAGCTTCAGTGTATCAGCGCGAGGGCCGCGCACATCGTTACCGAGTCCCGCGGCTGAGTTACGTTAGTCAGTCGTGGAGCATCGATCGGCGAATTACAAGTGCACGCGTCGATCGGATTCGAACGGCCGGCCACGGAGACGAACGAGACCACATCGCGGAGAGCCGTGAGAAGGGAAACGACGAAAAAAAGAAGAGAAAGAGAGAAGGGCGAAAGGAAGAAAGCAAATCTCTGTTGTACAGCGGTTCAGGTTGGGTAATCAAGTTTGAAAGGAAATATCAGAAGAGATCGTTAGATCGATCGTTCGATCGAAGCGACGACGAGATCGCAGTCGCGATCGTACGCTTGTAAATCGGCAACGGACCGGTGTTTGCGGTCAATGAAGGCACGTAAGAGCCGCGAGAAAAGTAAGTTCACCAATCATACAGGCCGACTGTAGTGCCGCTCGAGTTTCCTCTCCGATAATCGGTGCAGGCCAGTCGATACGCCGTGGAAAGAGATCCTCCTTGAGACGAAGGGATTGACACAGCCCAGGCCCGAACGAAACCTCCCCCTTTATCGCGACTTAACCGTACGTTGCGGTGTGTCAGTGCTAACAGCTGCCAAAGATGCAACGGCAAGGTGCGAGACTCGCTCAGACAGAGAGAGAAAGAATAACAATTCTCCTCCTTGTTTTGCCCCGTTGACGACTCCTCTTTTGAGAGATAGCACCTTGGAATACATATACATATATATATGCATTCATACGACTTGTCGTAGTTGGTCCGCTTAGGGAACCGACCGATGCGACCACGCTCTCTATTGCCTCTCTAAACGTCGCGTCTCTTTCTCACCTTCTTTCCATCTCTTTCTCGCCTTCTCTCTCTTTCTCTCTTTTCACTTGCGTATACAAACGCAGATCTCCAGATCTCGCGCTGTCGTTTTTAATCGACAAATGCTCTGAAAGCGGAATCGCAAAGTGGGGTGGATACAGGGTAGGAGCTCTCCCGTTGCTATGGTGACCCCGGATGCCCGGGACCAGAGCTGCTAGTGGAATTACACAGTGCAGAGGCATACACGTCTATAATGTGTATAATATAAAAGCCAAGTTTGAAAGCGCACGGCCGTGTTTTAGACGATTCTCGACCGACAACGGTGCGCCCGACATGTTTTTTTTCTCCCCTCCGAAAGCCTTCCTTTTCTTTTCTTTTCTTTTTTTTTTTTTCCTTTTCTTCTTCGACTCGTTTCAATTAACTACCCCCCTTTTTTAGCAGACGTAGTCGCAAGACGTAGAATGCAAACATCCCTTTCTGTATTGATCCTTCAGCCCAGCTTTACAGCTTCTTCGGTCTTTCGATCATCTCTCTTTAACAGAATTAATATTCATTCGTACCTTACATAGTTCAGTGATCGTAATTTTAGCAGCGATCAATGGGAAGCTTCTACCTTAGTCGCAAACAAGCCAGATGACATTTTTCGCTAACTTGGAACATGAATCGAACGTTCTTTTCTTTTTAGTTTGCATCAAGTATACGTAGAATACGACACGGGAAACAGCATGATAACATTGATATGACAAAATTGCGATTAGCGATTTTTTAACGATTCATTACGGTTTATTTGAAGCTTTCCCCCCCACGGAGCTTTTATGTTCCCGCGTTATGATCGCGTGTAATTTCGAAAGAAGCGTTAATTGGAACGGTTCGCTTGGTCGTTTTCAACTAATGATCCGAAGCATGTATAAAGGGGAATAATTGCATGATAGGTGGACACGCGTGAATTCATGTATCGTTCAAAAGTATCCAGATACTTGCCTATTTTTGACAAGATATATTTTCGCGATTTTCACTGCGAAACGACGAATCAACAGTGACTTTATTCTCCTCCAGATAAACGAAATTGTAACATCTTTAATTTCTGTTCGACACATTTCAATTTTTTTGTGTCAAATTCTAAATTGTTGAAAGAAAAAAAACTTCTGGCGTTAGTGCAACGGTAGTAAAATGGACTATTGCGATAGTTTCGATAATCAACGCGGTGCACTTTGATTAAAAAACGCAATTACGATAAATCGAACGAGTGTTCAAACATTAATGTAAATTCGATAACAAAATTGCTCAATGTGTTCTGACATATGGCAACATGTACATATAATACTTTGAAAGAACGGTGCGGCGTGTTTGTAAATTCACTGATCGATACATAGATTAAAAGGCAACTTGTGGAATTCGCAAGTGTCCAACAATAGGTGAACGCGTGCCAGTATCGCGATCGTCTCTCACCCTAGTTGTAACATTTCCGTAAATAAAGTAGTAGTACGTATATTACTAGTAGCAGTGTACAGTCTCTTGTAGAGTATGTTGGTAGAATGTCGATTGTTAGGTACTTCCAATTGATTAGGTGCATTTGTATAGAGATTGCAACTACTTTTTTAGAGCTCGATCTCTCCCTCTGTACGCTGTAGTGTTGGGTTGCGCTTTCGTTTGATCTTGAATTTTATTTCCGACGGCGGCGATTATATTTATAGCGCTTCGCGTTAATGAATATCGATTTTACGTAGCGCCACTTCGATATGAAACGTGTCTAGACGGCATCTGTGTGTCGGAATGAAAATTTTCGCCCACGAGCCAGCATACGCGAATCAGGATTTAATGCCCTTACCCCTGCAACGAAAGCGACTACTCGATGCTGCGTCAGTCGATTGATCTGATTTAATCTAATCTTCGAACACGAAGTATAGTGTTTCATCGATCTGTCGATTCACCCGAAACCTGTTGACTCTTAGCGATCTTTTTTTTCTATCTCTCTATCTTCATTCCACGCATCTTTCCATCGTCGATAAGCGACGAAAAGGATGGAATCGTGCGAATAATTCTATATATATATATATATATACACACACATATATATATCCCCAAGTAAAACACGATCTTCGTTGAGATCTTTGTTTTTGGATAAACTTTGGACAAGGAATTTGCAAATTCATTTTTCTGCTGAAATTTTTGTCGTGCTCGCAATTTGCTCGAAACGCTGTTTCGAATGAAATCTTTGCCCGTGCAAGGAACGTTTGCAGCCGACTCTGATTGCAAATCTGATCCGAGAATGTTTTACCTGGGCAATTATATTCTTCCTATTGTCTTTCGCTCACGAGTTCTCCGCCTGCAAGCCTATGCACCTGTACATCTCCAGGTATTTCATCCGTCTTGGCAATGCGCGCACTGTCTCCCGTAGAATCCCCGTATTTGCCGACTGGGAGTGTAGGCAGGTTGCCTGGGGATATCAGCCGTGTTATCTTCTCGGGCACCCGGCGTATCTTCTCCCGTGTAATTAACGTTCATTGAGCTCGTTGCACCCTATCTCGTAAGTAGACACGCGCCATCTCCTCTCCTGCCTGCTAGTGAGAGAGGAGAAATGGCGTTTCTCCCTTAGCCTGGTGTAGAGGAAGAAGCACTTTAATCAAAGGTGAGAGGGGAGTATCTCGAACGCGTGGTACAGTCTTAGGAGTGAAGCGCCTATTGGCAAACTTACAGAGGGCGAACTTGAAGAACTCGGGGGCGTTTTAGGGGGTTCCACCGCCGGTGCGCTTGCCCTCGGCGGCAGGCACAAGCCGGAAGAGCTCTCCACATTGGCGGCCAATACCAGGTTCTCCAGGAAAGAGATACAGCTTATCTATCGCGGATTCAAGCAGGAATGTCCTACGGGTCTCGTCGACGAGGAGGCTTTCAAGCAGATCTTTTCACAGTTTTTCCCTCAGGGAGGTAAGTGACAAAAATCAATTCTCTCACGATTCAAATCTCTCGATTTATATGAGGAAAGAAAAGGTTTTTTTTTTTTTAATTAATTATAATAAAAATAGAAATGTTACATCGTTCCATGAGAAATATCGTAATCATCTGTGTAATTTTAAACGTAAAAATTTCCTTGATAAGTTTCGAATCTTTCTTTTGAAAGATTATCAAGATTGACACAATATATTTACTGCTTCGAGATTCCCTACTATTTAATATGATGTGACTTTTTATCATTTTCTGTTATTATTTAATAATATCTTAGAGCACGAAAGAATTGCAAGAACGATGAAATCTTTCGAATCTTCTAGATGCCAGCCAGTACGCCCACTATGTCTTCAACACCATGAAGAGAAAACCGTCTGGGAAAATAAGCTTCGAGGTAAGAAATATTTTAGAGGCAACGCGTGCGTTTCATTCGAGTCATCACCTCAGTTTGTAGTTTGACAGTTGCGTTTCATCGTGTTCAGGAATTTCTGACCATCTTGTCGAAAGTTTCGAGAGGATCGGTGGAGGAAAAACTTCAGTGGATATTTGGGCTTTACGACCTCGATGGAGACGGACTGATCAGTAAAGAGGAAATGCTGGACGTGGTTGGTTCAATCTATGAGATGTTGGGTCGTTACACTCAGCCACAAATAGTTGAGCCGCATTTGGCTGCTCGAGAACACGTCGATCGTATTTTCCACGTGAGTAAATGCGATCGATCTTGCATATATCACGTGTATACATATGTAAAGATATTCGATGATTTGTTGAAATTCTCTCTCTCTCTCTCTCTCTCTCTCTTTTTTTTAAATTAATGGTATTAACAGCGTGGCTGAATAATTTTTTATTCTCAGTTGATGGACGCAAATAAAGACGGCGTGGTGACAATCGAGGAATTAGTACAGTGGTGTTCCAAGGATGAACAACTCTTGCGGAGTCTCGACACTCTCGACACTGTCTTATGAGATCTTTGCGATTATTTATTGTAACCCTTACACAATCCCCAAGAAATTTGTCAGAAATTTCCCTGAAAATTGTGACGCAACGTTCGTACGAGTTCCGTGGGTAATTTCTAGAAGTTCGATTCTAAATATTTAACGATTCACAGAGGAAATTGAGTCTCGATCGAAAGTGCTCGTCGAACGTTGTCTGTAAATATGTATTTACCCTTCCTACCCAGTCTTTCAAGCGTGTTATCGAATGCACGATGAAATTAACAGTATTATCAGACATCATATGTACAATTCCTTCTCGCATCGCGCACGTAATCCTTAGGCACTTAACAGATTATTCGATTGTTGTCGCGCGATCGTGTAAATTTTCAGAAAAATATTTCAGCTACGGGAGAAAAAAAAAAAAAAAAAAAAAATGAAGAAGACGAAGCTTGTTCTATTTCATTGGCGCGGATTCGATATAATTCAGAGGGAACTGTCAGGTGGTAGGTAACGCGGAATTGTTACTTAAAATCGACGCGTCGGGAACACAAGTCGGTCTCCAGATTCGTTAAAACGGAGACTGAATTCTATATTCAAACGTAATATCTATATCTTTGGTAAAGAATGGATTTTAACGATTTTACCACCGATTATGCTAATAACATTTCTCCGCAAAATTCGCAAAGCGAAATAATCTATAATACGTATTTCCTAAACGTCTATATTTCTTCTAAACTCCACTTTTCCTCCATTTCGCGAGTTGATGAAAAATTTGATGCTCGTCCTTTTAGATGAGGTTTTCGTACGATGCAGAAGTACGAAAGTAGTTTCACTTTTTCCCGACCGTTAATAAATTATGTCTAAATACGAGAATAATGTGTAAGTACGTACTTCGATACTGACCACCGTTGTGGCGGTCAAGTGCGATTTAAAGATATTTTCAAGGAGCTTCGACTATTGTCCATCGTTCGGGTCGTTTTCGTGTCTTGTTATCTTTGCAGCGAATGATTTAGCTACAGAGATTCATCCGAAACTTTTACATTCTACAGATAAAAAGGAAATTACGTCTATGGCTATTACAGATAATAATAAGCGTTCAGGACAAGGAATTGGAGTAGGGAAGAGACAGAGTTTATTCAGAGTTTATTCCGAGTTTCAAGATCGTTAGATTCAGGCATATGCGAATAACGTTTGACAATCGTTTTAATCTTACCTCTCGTACGTGTGAACGTACGAATATAGACGTTTCCTTCGATCTCGCCTTATGCTCTTGAATATTTCCAGACACGTTGGAAACATGGCAAGAATTGTAAGGTCCACAAATCGATACCTTAGTTACATAAACTTATTGATAAAACATTCGCATATGTCTACCCTCTTTATAGATTGTAGATTTAACGATACCTCCAAAGACCCATGTACGATGGAAAACGTAGTTAGTGACCCGTTAATAGCGTATCGTAGTACCCTCGACCAATTTAAGAGAAACGTGGTCCTCTAAGATCAACGCCTCGTGTGATTCTCTCGTACCTTATTATATTTATTATTACTATCACATAAAAGAGTATTGTTATCAATCTTACTACTTGTCTTCTATCAAATTGAAGCAAGATAATTGCGCGTGAAACTGTTGAGCGCACATTCGAGATATTCTAAATCTTACGCGTACAAATGTCATCGAATTTGTTGAATTTCTCAAGTTTATTAAAAAAGTGCATATTATATTATATTCGAGAAGATGTGATCTGAGAATGTTATCATGCGAATATAAAAAAAAGATCGATTCGACGTTTATACATTCGATCGTTCTGATAGGGTGCGCAATCTATTATAGATCAGCGCATCCTATAACGAAATGTTTGTTATATCAGTTCCAATTCAGGAATCGATTTTTTTTTTCTTTTTACTGATTAGTAGACCGTATATCTATATAAATTATACACTTACATTTATAGGTGTATGTATATGGCTGTTTGACTTGAATATCTTCGTTATTTCTTTAATGACGGACACGTTATCGAAGCAATAATGATATGACTTCAAGATTCGACATTTTCTGCGATATTTATATATTTCTGCTCAATCGTAATGGTTTTCTTTTGAAGGTATTGAAGAAAACAGTTTGTATTGAATAAAATTATATTTCAGTTCGTTTCTATTATATGTACATATTAAAGGATCACAATTGTCTATTAAAATAAGATCGGTACTAATCATTTTTCTTTTAATTAACGTTATGAATTGTATATGAAATAAATATAATTATAATTACGAAATACAATATACGATTAAATTTTTTTTTTTCGTAGCAAACCTGAATTTTCATTGTTAATTTTTCTCACGTCCTCACACAGTTTTAATTATTTAATATGATCCTATTATCCTAGAATAACATTGTGTAATGTATGTTACAATTTTAATAATTTTGCATATGATATCTGGTTTTTAACTTTTTTTTTTCTTTCACTTTTAATAATACATATCAAATTTTTTTGCATTACGTACTTCTGGGTTAGTGGCGCTGCAGTGTTATGACTTGTGTATAGGATATGCAATATCGTCATTCGATATAGTTTGTTTCTTGTATTTAAAGTTAGCTTAGAAAAATCGTTATCGATGTTTCAGTTTGATAAATGAGAAAGCACGCTTTGGATTACATGTTCTGCGAGAAACATTTTTTTAACATTTTTGTAGAACGCATTATAAAAAGACTTTTAATATAACATCCATCATGTCATATAGTATACTATGCAATAATTATGTATTTTTTATTTGTAACGCAAGTATTTGCAGTTATCTCTAAAGGTATATTTCCGAAGTTCTGAATAATTCGATGCCAAAATTAACACAGGAAGAAAAATGGTGCGAATAAAGTGGTCCTTAACCAAAGCGCCTAATATTCTTAAGTAAGTAATGGAAAACAATGAAGAAAAGATATTTTATTTGTTTGAGAATACACTATAATATATTTTATTGCCTTTAGATTTAATTTAAAACAAAAATGGTGGCGTCTTCAAATCATTATAAAATCTTTATTTTATAATGAATTTTTAAATTGGAGTTACATTTGCGACATACTCCTGGAACCAATGTTTTGGTTTGTAGAAAATTTTACTGCTTGTTTAGGTCCAGTGAGTATTTTTACAATCTTTACTAGTTTCGTTCATGTTGTGATTTGTTGATTCACATTTTTATATGAATCTTATAAGAGAAATTATTATTGTTCACAATGTATTTACTAAGTTTGACAGTTTACAGGTATTTGTAGTAATGGTAAGCCTTTTAACTGCAAGTATCGTGTACATTGCATATTACATTGGTTTACCATATTGGTGGGAAAAAAGTCCATCGATGACAATAATCCTCTTAGTGATTGGAAACTGGTTATTAGTAAATGTATGTTTTCATTATTATAAGGGTGTAAATGTTCCAGCTGGTTATCCGCCGGAAGGTGGTCTTATACCAGAGGCTGTGAGTATCTGTAAGAAATGTATTAAACCAAAACCACCCAGGACACACCATTGTTCTGTATGCAATAGATGTATTCTTAAAATGGATCATCACTGCCGTATCCTTTCAAATATATTGTCTAATATTTTAATATTTTCTTAAAATCCTATATATTTTCTAAATAAAGAAATAGCATGGTTAAACAATTGCGTTGGTCATTATAATCACAGACATTTTTTTCAATACATGGTTTTCACTGTACTTGGTATTTTATTCATAATGTTGTTTGGTGTGGAAATAGCATATCAAGAATTTTTTCCAGCACAAGAACCTGAATTAGATGGTCATCCAGTACGCATTAATAATTCTGAGATAATTCCTGTGGTAATTATTTTATTTGCAGAAAATAAGTTTATAATAATCAAGTAGAGGGCATTTTATTATTTATTTATATTACAGTCTGAATCGCTGGATCACCTAAGTGAAGAAGAATTAGCTGAAATAGCTAAACAAGCTGCAGATACAAATATTAAAGAATGGAAACGTCGACTTATAGTCTTTGCAGCACTAATTTGTGTAGCTACATTTGCAGCATTAGGAGCTCTGACATGGTGGCATGCAGGTCTCATTACTAGAGGAGAGACGAGTATAGAAGCACGTATAAATAGTACAGAAACACAAAAGTATAAAGCACTTGGTAAAATATATCAAAATCCATACAATTTTGGACCAAGACAAAATTGGAAGCTGTTTCTAGGTATAATTGGCAGGTAATTTGGAAGACCAAATATTTATTAATAAATATTTTACAATTATTTTACAATTATTATTATACATGGATTTGATATAGCAGAAGTTGGTGGCACATACTTTTTCCATCTAATCACGGACCATATGGAGATGGTCTTACATGGAAGACTATTCATGATACAAAAATATCTTGAGTATAATTTCTATGCCTAATAATGGCAATAGTTAAGTTACTGATGATGAAGTCATTTTTACAGATTTAAAAATCTAGTCATACTATACTACTACAGTTATATACTGCTATGTGCACATATTTCAAACGATATAATATTGTCTGAAAACTTTAATATCACTATAAAAAGAACATTCACTTTGTACATTAATAAGATTATTTGATATGTACATACATCAATCGATAATACTTTTATCAAACATCATTACATTTACTGTACATTTCTAAGCATTGTCAGTGTCAAATGCATTTTAAACTTTAATGTTTAAATCAGTCAAAATAATGCAAAAAATAAACAATTCTTTATCTTTGTAAAGTAAGATATTCATTTATAATACGAAACGAAATTTATGGCCAAACATTATCCTCAATCCAGTTGAGGTAGTGCGAAATTCTAGTATATATCCCGGGTGTATTGGGAATCGCACAACCTAATCCGAAACTAGTAATACCTAATAGTTGAAACAGACATTCATTTTTTGGATGCGGTATTTGCAGAGGACCTCCTGAATCTCCTTGACAAGTATCTTTTTTCCAACCTCGAGAATCTCCCGCACAGATCATACTTGGCATAATTCCATACGGCACTGTCATTGATTTATTGTACTTTATCGCACAAGCTATATGATCAATAATATCAAGAGAAGCCTTTTGCAATTGGTCACTTTGTTCCGGTATATCTGTAAGCATTAATAATTCATAGATATATTCTTTCAAAGAGATTTGTTTCCTTATTTTGGTAATGTCAATCTGACCAGAATCAGCAACACCCCAACCAGTGACCCATGCTTGCGCAGGTACAGTATCGTATTGTTCGTATAAACAAGCAGGTCTTATTTCATTATTAAAAACAACAACTGTATTTAACTTTACGAGAGCTATGTCAGCATACATAGCAGGAGGTTTGTAACTTGGATGACGCATTATCTTATTAATTGTAGTTGTGATACCTTGTGCATTATCTCTTAAATTATGCACACCAATACGGACGTCTGTAGGACTTCTGTTTTATAAAAAAAATAGTAGTAATTAGTAGTAAGATAGTAATAATTTCTACAGTAATAATAAATAAAATGAAACAATACTTTGGTCCATAAGTACAGTGTGCAGCAGTAAGTACCCATTCTGGAGCAATAAGAGTGCCACCACATGAAAAAGTAAATGACCCATCTGTAGTTTTTACACCGAGAGCAACCATGTGAGGAAAGTCTCCAGGAGAAGCATTAATACCTCCAATAACAAGACGATTTACTGTCTCACATTTTTTAGTATTTACTGTAATTATTTTTGAATTTTGACCCACCAAAGGCAATACCCCTGTTGTGTCCAAAAATTGTCTTCCATATTCTTCACATTCTAATAGAGTAAAATTAATAAAATATAAGAATAAATATAACAATAAAAGAAGTTGTCATTTATAAATATTTTATAGGTACTTACTAAGTTCTGACTTTGTTTTATCTGTGTCCAAATATGAATTTATTTCACTTGGAGCTATTGATATCTTGTCATTTTTTGCATTTTTATTGATATATGGACTATTTGTCTGAACTTCCTTGGGAATATCATTCATATTAAAACTACTTTGTAAGAAAATATTGCGAATGAAAACAGCTGCATTAACAGTATGATTCTCTGATGCTCTGCGTAGTTTGTTATTTACAGCTACATTAGCAGTATGATTCTTTGATGCTTTATGTGATTTATTATTTACAGCTACATTAGCAGTATGATTCTTTGATGCTTTATGTGGTTTATTATTTACAGCTACATTAGCAGTATGATTTTTCGATGCTTTATGTGATTTGTTATTTACTTCATCTAGTGCAATTGCAGAATTTGACAAGAAAGGATTCCTTTCATATTTTATATTTCCTTTTCGGTCCGGAAGAAATGGATTATTACCACTTAAACTCGGCGTGTTGGACTTTTTCTTTTTTGATTTTTCTAGAAACACATTCAACTATATTTATTTGCTATTTAAACAGATAAAAAAAAAAACTAACATTATACCATTTTAACGTGCGATCAGAAATGAAAAAACAATAAATAACCCTTCTCGAGAGGTTACATGCAAATGACTCGAAACAGAAAACACGTAAAATATGTAAAATAACAGAATTAACCTGGATTCTTCGTGGACACAATTAATATTATGCTAAATATTAAAAGTATGGTAAGAATGTTCAATCGAAGTATCATTTTTTTTATCAGCACAAAGGATATTTTCTTGTTCTTGAATTAAAATGGTCTTGAAGAAGGAAAATGACCATTTGTCTCGCTGATAGAATATTCCGTAGACAAATGATTTTCCTATCGCCGACGTCAGCTTCCTATTTATTATTTAATTTTAACGATTACTCAGTACGATTATAGAAAGACACGATCAAGAATAACACGAGTTCAACAGTTCAATCTATATAGACGCACACCGTCAATGTGTGTAACTCGAAATACCATGTGATTGGTTAATTTGTCACTTTGTGCATTCTGTCACGTGACTTTGCGGTAAGTCATAACATCTTAATCAACGTTTCTTTATCGTAGGGAAATTTTCCGGATAGTTACATTATTAATTTTTATATTGTCAATAGACATTTATTTCAATTTACATAACACAGAAACTCGTTGATTGGATAGAAATGAAGTCGTAATTACTTTAGACATTTCCTTAAAAATCGTTTGTCTCTTGAGCTCCTCAAAAACATTTCGTTTTCAAATCACATCTTATAATCTTATTTTATTGTTCATTTAAAGAAAACATTAAAATTCATAGCCTTACAGAGTCAAATAATGTAAATGTAACGTTTAGGCAAAAAAACTTTTATTATTTTATTTCTAATATAACAACAGGTAGTAATCACTTTCTCTTTTTGAATTAGTTTTTAGGTGATAAAAATGCGTTAGAAAAATAGTATTAAGGTTATATTATATAGTAATTTATAGAAAAATGATTTGATTATCTTCCTCTATTAATCGCTATCTAACTTATGTCATTACTACCAATTGCATGCTCCAGATACTACCACTATTTCCTCACAAAGGCAAACTATGAGCAAGAGCGCAAAGTATATATAAGAGTCGTTGCGTAAAACTAGATGTCCAATTTGTCAATTGATAAAAGTTTGTGCGTACAGAGTTCATTTTACTGTCGAGAATGCTTTATTACATGATCTTTCTATTTTGCCTGATCTCGGACACGATTTCTGAAGATACCAAATCGCCGCGTATAGTGATCGTTGGTGCTGGCGCATCTGGCATCGCGGCTGCAGCGAAGTTGCTCGAAAATGATTTTCAAAATATCATTATTTTGGAAGCCGAGAATCGAATCGGTGGACGAGTGAACACAGTAAAGTTTGGTGAGTCCAGCTTCGACTTCGAGATAATGATACAGCATTCAAAATTCAAGATTGAAACGGCTCATTTACGTTCGTAGACGAGTACGCAATTGATTTAGGCGCGCAATGGATTCATGGAGAAAAGGGAAACGTTGCATACGAATTGGTAGCTCCATTGAATATTACGGATCATTCAGAACCAATTAACTACGATGTATATACATCCACCGGCGAGCTGATCGATAATAGAATTACGAAAAACATTACGGATACTTACCTAACTTATTTCGACAAGATAGAGGAATTCACGGGTGACAAGTGCCAACGATCCATTGGCGAATGTATCGAACACAAGTACGAATTTCGTGCTCTTATATCGCCGCTTCACAAGTGTGCTCAGGATAAAAAATTCTGACGAACGTATCTCGTAATTTGTTTGATTTATCAGAAATTTGAGTGCAATTGACCATTATATAAATCAGTCTACATAGTATTTGAAAGATTGCGAAATAGAGCGTTTCTGAAGTATTAAGTATTAAATAACATTATATTAAGAAATTAAAATATATTAGAATTTTTTTAATAATTCTTGTTAGTTATATTTTTTAGTAATTCTTTTTTTTTTTTAATTCATTCTTACAAATTATGATTTCGTATAACGAATCTTCTTTGGAATGAATTTAAACGAACCTAACTTATTATTACCCATTGTCCTGAATTCATATCTGAAGTGATGCGTACGTGTTAAGATATATTTTACACATTGATGTATAATGAATTTACATTAGGTTGAAAGACTGTTTTAAAAAATTTCCGGAATTAAATGAAACGCTACAGGAAGAATTACTGTGGTTTTTCAATATACTTCAGATCAGCTCCGATCCTGCTGACAATTGGTATGATATTGCGGTAAAATCGTATTTCGAGTATAATATATCCGAGGGTGATCAGGCAATAAATTGGAGGAACCGAGGATATGGTACCATTCTTGATATATTAATGGTTTGTGCCTCTTATCTCATTATATTATTTCTTATTCGCTGAATATCTTCATTTATCTTACATTTTTTAAACAGAAAAAATTTCCAAATCCAGAGGAGGAGTTACCTGTATTAAACAAAACGATACTTAATGCCGAAGTTACGAAAGTTGATTATTCCAGTGAAGATAATAGCGTGAAAGTAACAACGCTCGACGGAAAAGAATATATAGCCGATCACGTTATCATGACGCCTTCCTTAGGTGTGCTTAAAGCACAGTACGAAACTCTGTTTAATCCTCCATTACCGGAATCGAAAATTAGAACTATCAAAGTACGTTTTCTGTGTTCTCCAATTTAATAAAAGTTAACTTGATTAGCGATATTTAACTATTTACTTTAGGGATTAGGATATGGAAATGCTTGTAAAATATTTTTAGCGTTCAACGATACTTGGTTTAACACTAAAAAAACGAATAACGCAGGATTTAGAATTTTGTGGACTAAGGAAGAGAGGGAGAAGCTTGACAGCAATGTAAGAATTTAAAGTTGTGCTATAAATAAATAAATAAATAAATATATATATATATATATAAATTTAATTTTATGTAAATATAAAAATAAAACATATTTTTACTTTTTACAGCCAAAAACAAGGTGGATACCTTATGCTATAGGTTTCTTTTTTGTCGAGCACAAACCTCGTTTATTGTTCATATGGGTATCTGGAAAAGGTGCGCGATTGATAGATGATGTTACTGATGACGAAATTTTTGATCAAATAGTACAGCTGTTAAATAATATGCTGTCGAAAGATTATAATGTCACTAGACCAACAGCAATGATAAGGTATCATTTTTGCAGTTGGTATGTTCTTCTTATCTTTGTTTCTGACGAAATTCATTTTATTTGTAGAAGTAAGTGGTATCAAAATAAACATTTCCGTGGTACGTATAGTTTTCAGAGCATAGAAACTATAAAAACGAATTCTAGCGCGTTGCAATTGTCCGAACCAATTATAAAAATGGGGAGACCTGTAAGTTTGATTTGAACAATTTATAAATACAGTGTTGCTTATGTTACTACATTTGTTTCTTCTAGGTAATTTTATTTGGAGGTGAAGCTACTAACGAACACTATTTCTCTACAGTACATGGAGCGATTGGCTCTGGGTGGAGAGAAGCTGAAAGATTAATAAGTCTTTATGATAAACTTAATAGTACAAACAAAAGTCCAATGACAAAATAATAAATTTTATTTAGATTAGAACTACAGATATATAACTTCATTATAATTTTAAAAATGACAATAGTCAAAATTATATATACAATTATATAATATAAAATATAAAAATGTTCGATTTACTTCGAGTTTAAAATGCATGCATATGTATTTTCATATACATATGTACAAAAAATGTGCGTAAGTATGTTTTACATATTTCAAATTACTTTCATTTATATTTCTCTAGAGATTCAAAGTCACGTATAGTTAACTTTCAGCAACGTGATACTGTAAAAAAATTTGTGCTTGTTTTATTCCTGTATCATAAGCACCATGTGTCGTAGAATAAAAATTTTCGTGTGTTGCTTCACCAGCAAACATGATGATAGGCACGTCCTAAGATAAAATAAATTTTTTCATTGCACCGACTATTTTATAATCAAGTGTTTCGATAATCTTACCTTATTATTATGTTCTGTTAGTTTACCCCATATCGGTTCTGACAGATTGCGTGGCGTAATGCCATTTGCGTCACATTTCGTTGTAATGTAACTATAACTACCTCGAATATACTTATTCGCGTTCCACTGTGTTCTCAAGCATCTCTTTATTGGAGATATTTTATAACATTTTAAATAATGTTTAAGTAAATTTTCACAGTCTATTGCAATTTGTTCTTCGCTCAAAGTTTCAACAATATAAGCTCCACGACCACCAACCCAACCGAGGAGTACACCTTCGTGATTAGGTAAAACATCAAAACCTGTCAGATCTCTAGTCCATACAGCCAGATTTTTATTGCAACGTACACCTTCTTTCCAAAGTAGTTGAAATCCTTTTGTATTAGGTTTCCACCATGAAATCCCAAAATCGAGGAAAACTTTATTTATTAACCCGAAACCTAAACATTCGATTGCCTGGCTGAAGAGATTCGGTAAGGATGGAATAAACATAGTCTTATAATTCTCTTTTAGATAACCAAGGGAACATGTAACTATTACACAATCCGCAAGAATACGAGTATTTTTGGAGACATTTAAAATAAGCGGAGAATTGAAATCATTTTGTTGCCACTCGATTGATTCTACAGAGGTATTTAGACGTAAATTTCCTTTACCCAAACTATCGGCGATAAGTTTGGGTAAATCCTTATATCAAGATTTAAATGAAAGATGTTCTGGACCCCCAACAAACTATAAAAAAAGAATATTATATTTGTTACATTTTTTTTTTCGAACAATAATTTTAACATCGAAATATTTACCTTAAATTTTCCCCAGTATTTCGTAGATAATTCGTCAAGACTGAAACAAGCATTATCTATTGCAAGAAATCTAATATTCCAATCGAAAATTTCCTTCTTTATGGTTCTTATTACTAGCGGATCATTCTTTTTATGCAAATGTTTGTTGAGAGAATTTCTTAAAACCGCATCGATATTTTCACAACCTATTTCAATATTTTTATCCTTATAATCCTCGCAATCTTCTAATGTATTACAAATGAGATCATCTATCTCTTCGACTAAAGCTACATCTACTTTACAACCATTGTTGCGAATGAAAATTCCTTGACCATCTCGACATTGTACGTCTGAGAGTAAATCATGTTTATAACATAATTGGGCTAACTGACTTTGATCACCGTGCACAAACTGTGCCCCGTATTCTATCCAAGCTTTATTCCATGGGGCAGATTGGATTCGACCACCGATTTCGCTTTGCGCTGTGAGAAAGTAAATAATAAATCATTCTCTTCTCTTCGTGGATACAAATCCTTCTTCAATTTCCCTTCAAAATTTAATTACCTTCGATTAATAAATAATCTTTGAAATTTGCATCCTCTAGTGTTTTCGCAGCTGCCAATCCTGCAATGCCTGCACCTATTATTACAAGTTTCGTTCTTGATATTTTTTGGTTTGACGCACTCAACGGCCTTTCCAATTTATCGAATCCATTTCTCCAACCACGTGTTCTACGTGATCAGAATTGTATTTTTCAAAATTAAATTTTTATTGTTTGTTTAACAATTGTTACCAATTTTTAATGTGTATGTACAAATTATTACCATTATAAATTTAAAGAATAAATAAATACAACAATATAGTAATATTCTGTTGAGAATGAATATAATTTAATTAACAAAGAATTTTTGTTTATTACTTATAGATAAATATTAGAAAAATTAATATTGTAAGGATAAATATATGTATATATGCATTTTATTTATCTATTGTTAAATATAAAACTAAAATATAAATCTCTCTTTTTTTGAAGAACTAAAAATAACAATAAGTAATTATTTATTAAATTAATAGCGTAAGGTATGTTTCTATAATGTGAAACATCAAATAAATCTATTTATTTAATTTAATTTACCGTGATCCCTTATGAAGAAACCTGGCTCTGGTTAAAGCGGAGACTTTAACCGCCTAAGAAGCATGCTAATCAATAGAAATAGAATATATAATTCAATATAAACGCTTTTAATATAAATTAGTTGTTTCATTCAAACTACTTTTTCAAACTGGAAAACAAACAAAAGAAATTAATAAAAGAAAATGTGAAACGAAAAATGTCAAATTATTTTTGTGCTAAATTACTAATTTTAAAATTTAAAAATTAAATTGGTACGATTTCACAAAATGCGAGTGTAAATTATAATTTTAAAGATGTAAATTATAATGCATAATAAAAATCAAACCACATATAGGATTTTTTAAGCCATGCAATGATCATAAAAATGAATTTACCTTAGAATCAATTATAGTATAATTATCCACAGAATCATTATGCACAAATAAAACCTTTTATTTCAGCTAGAATAAGTAATCAAAAAGACTACTTCACACCATACTACCATATTCCAAATAGAACCCAAATAATAATTATAGATTGAAAATTATTACAATTTACCTATAAAAATCTATTATTCTATCAGCTTCTCTGAAACCCGTTTCAACTGCGCCATGCACAGTAGAATAATAGTGTTCGTGTGTGGCTTCTCCGGCAAAAAGAATTATCTATTAAATAAATAAAATTTTTAAAACCTTTTTTCCCATAATTCAATTAAAAGAAATACGTACAGGTTTTCCATCAGCTGTTACAATAGGTTCAGATAAATCTTTAGTTTCTGCATTTAGTTTTTCAGTTGTTATGCTCTTAAAAGAATACGATCCACGGAAAAATTCATCAGTATACCACGACGATCTACAAATAATACAATACGTATCATGATTAGAATAATAAGAAAAGAATATTAGAATAACAGGAATAATAAGAAATCATTAAATGATTACCTAATCATTTGATCAAATTTCGAAATATTATATGTTTTACTCAAAAACATTTCTAGTAATAAATATAGTCCATCAGATATGTCATTATCAGTAAGTAGTTCTATGTGTCTTGCAAATTTACCAAAGATCCATGTACATAATACTCTTGGTTGGTAATCCACAGAAATAAATGCAAACACATCACACAGCCATTCATATTCCTGAATTATGTATGGTTAATACATTTAAAAAGACTATTATTGGTGTTGTGTATCAATATTAAAAACTGTAACTGTATACTTGTCCATAAGATTTAATAAATTCTTCCTTATCTTCCTTGGACCATATTAAACTAAAACCTGCACATTCTTCTGGCCACCATCTATGTGGGAATTCCAAGAATATTTTATTTACAGTTCCAATATTTAAACCCTAAATAACATATTGCAATTATATTTTGAATTAAATGTACACCAAGTGGAGAATTAAGTAGAGAAGTAGAGAAATTTGAATTAAGTAGAAAAATTCCCATATTATTTATTACTATTAAACCTTGCCTTTATTGCGTGTTGTTTCTTTTCAGGCAAAAGTGGAGTAAACATTGTGGCATGTTTCTCTTTCAGAACACCAAGAGATGGAGTAAATATAACATGAGATGCTATATATTTTGAATCATCTTTGGTTTTTACAATTATATTATTATTCGAAGTATAATCAATATTTTCAATATTTTTATTAAATTCTATTTTTTCCATTATTGGCAGATTACTTTCTGTGTTTGGTATTTTTTGCTAAAGCAAAAAAAGAATAAATTATTGTTTTACATATGTATATATAGATATACTGTAGTTATTATTGATAAAGATGTACATACAAATAGTAAATCAAATAATGTTTTGTAGCCACGATCCTTCCAATTAAGTACAAGATCTCCATCACAAGTCCAATAATTATTAATTTTTTTTGCAGAAACATCAAACCATGAATCACTACACTGAATGGAATTATCAAATTTATGCATCCAATCTAGTAACTGTTCGGCTTTATCGCGACTAGTAAAAGGATTTTCATCAAATATTTTATAAAATCTGAAATATTTAATTTATAACATAATTCAGTTTCTCGTTAGAATGATCGAAATTTTAAATATAAGTATTTGAATTTTAGCGGTAAAATCAAGCCGGATGTTGATCATCAACCTTGAAACGACAAAAGAAAACTATAGTGTATTTATTAAAACTTGTATACTATTAAATACAATTTCTTATATTGTGTCTTTATAATATTATATTATGTTATAAATTATGAACGATTCATATCTTTTCATAAAGAATGTGATATAAAAATATAAATTATATATATTTTATAAATATGTTTGCAAAAGGGTAAGAATTATTTCTAAATTGACTATATTTTTGAAGAAAAAAATTGTTTATATATAAAACTTTGTATTTTAGTAATGCTGATCCTGAATTGGAGAAATTGAGGAGAGAAGTTGATGGTCCTCCAAATTTAGATATTTTAACACTAAATATTCAAAGAGCTACAGCACAAATTCATGCCTCTTATTTATTTGAACAGATTGGAAGAACTACTTTGCAAAATATATGTTTATTATTAAGTTCTACTGCCACAGGCAAAACTTACAGTGGATGGCAAGAATTTGCTGCATATATGGGTTTAACAATGGAACAAATACGAGTATGTATATCTAAGTCTCTATTCCTTTAAACTTTTCTTTAACTTTTTTTGTTACAGTGCATAGATTATGACTTTAAAGGATTGCAAGATCCAACTTATTATGTATTATTGGCTTATGTGCAACATACTGATGCAACTATAGATAAGATTTTACATACGTTACAAAGAATACATCGTCTTGATATAATTAATCAAATAAAGGATAATATTACAGATTTAATTGATGAAATATCACAAAGAACTACTACAGATGGTATCATAACATTTATGTATCATAAAAGTAACTATGTTTTCAATTTAGTTTACATGAAAATTTCTATCTGTGTAGAATCAGCTTTGTTAAGACCAAGAAGTATACCAAAAGCTCCATTAGTATTAACTCCAATCAATTTTGTACACAATATACAAAAACATAAAGCAGTATCTGATCGTGTTATACAAGACAATTTAAAGAAGGTATTGTAAAATATTGGAGCAGAATTATGTGCTTTTAGATCAGTAAATTAACATCTTTTGTTTATTTTTTTGACAGAGTAAAAAATCATATGGCTGTATAGTTATGTTAACATTTGCTGATGATGGTTCAGAAATTGCACAACATGTAGCAAAAATATTCAGATCTAAAGAGCCCAAAATTGGAGTTCTCATACTTCAAGAACAGGAAAATTATGTATATGATAGAGCTGAAGAATTTATAGATGATTGTTTTAAACAGGTAAAAGAGCTTTAGATTAAAAGATTTAACTTAATTTAACTGTTAACTTTTTTTTAGGTGAATTTTATTATACCTATATTAACACAAGGATATATGGAAAGAATAAGTAATATTAGGAAAGTCTATATTGAAGATCAAAATAAGTTAGATGCAAAATACATAAGATATATATACTCTCTTTTAAGATATGAATATGTGAGAAATCAATGCATTAATTCTCGTGTAAGGTACGTTTATCAAAGTTACTATTTTTACTGATCTATTTACATAAATATTTCTTTTTTTTTTTAGGTGTATAGTTTCTGATAAAGAAGTTTTTGCAGTTGCAACAGCAAATTTACATCCAACTTTGCAAGCATGGTTTAGAGAAAGTGATATTGATGCATTTATTGACAATATTCTTCTAAAGAAATGTTCAAGATGAATTTGTATAATATTTCAATTTTATACATAACAGATAATATATTTAATCTATTTGTATACTTACTTATTCATAAAATATTCCCCATATGATTCTGAATTATATATATCATCTGATATATTTTCAGAAATATCATAATATATTTTAAAGGTTTCTGCAGATTCTTTCTTTGAGAAGATTTCCCCTTTTGCAGTAATAAATACATGTTTATCGTACTCATTAAAACATTTTGAGGAATCTAATAACTTATGAGGGGAAGCAAGTTTATAAACAATATTCCCCTCTTCACCATGAACCCACTGTGCTCCTAATTCCACAACATTATCCGCTGAAAAATATAAGAATATAATTGTTTTAATAATACACATGTATTTTTTTCTATCTTATTCAATAAAAATTGCGTTTTTGTATAGAAATGCTTAATAAATGTTTAAATAAGAATAATTTACTTACAAAATTCGACTGTATTTATTCTGCCACCAATTCGATCTTTTCCTTCAAGGATTATGATGTTTTCCAATCCTTTTTTCATTAATCTAGCCGCTGCGGCAATACCTGCAGCTCCAGCTCCAATAATTATTATTTTTGTTTCTTTAAACATTATTTTGAATTAATAACTAATTATTCATTTAAAGTATGAATTGAAATTAATATACTAATATAACGTCGTTATATAACTATAATGATATGATATCACATATTAATATCTCATTATATGTTATCTTAGTATTTGAAAAAATTTTTGAACATATAAATTGTTAAAAAACGTGTTCAATGCAGCATCGGTTCGTGTTGTACTGATCAGCTGATTCCAGAGCTCGGAAATCTATAGCGCTACGAAATCTATAGCGCTACGAAATCAAATAATATGAAATTTCATTGACGCAATAGAATAGTACTTTGATCTATTGAATAGAATTTGAGGATCATCATATATACATTTTGTAAATGAAGCTTAGAATTTCATTAATAAAGCGCAATCAAGTTCAAAAATTAATTCGTTTTATGTAATTAGTTTTTCTTACGAATAAAAATTTAATCCATCAAAACACTAGCGCCACATGACGATAAAACGATGAAATTTTCCTGTCTTTATTGCCGAATGTATACTCCTTGTCTTTTACGCTTACAATTGGATATATCATTGTTTCACACCATTCTTGTCTATCAAGTAATAATAGAATAAATAACTATTGCCATCTATTAAATTCAGTTAAAACATTGGCTGAAATTAAAATTCGGTCGATAAATAAAGAAGCATTTATCTTGCTTGGTATTTCTAGATGGAGTTGATAGGTGACAGCATCTTCGTAGATAAGGGGTTTCATTGTTTCCATTATACGATTTTGTTGCAGTGTTTTCTTTAATAATATTGAAAAAACAAATATGTGAATATATTAATTATTCATTTGAATTTCTCTTGAATCTTAGACTAAAATTAAATTAAATTAAATTAATTAATCTGTTTAATAATTGTGCAAAAATGGCGCAAGACAGAGAAGATTTGCCACGAAAGGTTAGTTTCCCTTTTTTCATTAATAATCACTTAAATAATGATTTCCAATTTTAGCAACTAGTAAATTAATAAGTATTGTTTATTATAGAAGTACAGAAGAGAGGAAGACAGAGAGGGCAGTACTTTAGAAACAGATGATGATTATGTTCCTTATGTGCCAGTTAAAGAGCGTAAAAAGCAGCAACTAATTAAGCTTGGTAAATTTGGACAGCTTAAGGATGAAGCGGCTGCTGGTATTATTGGAAAAAGTAGCAGTGAAAATGAGAAAGATGACGCAGATGATGATGATGAAGTGTGGGGAAGGAAGTCAAACATTTCCTTATTGGATCAGCATACTGAATTGAAAAAATTGGCAGAAGGTAAGTGTATATGTGTCTTTCAAAAAAAAAAAAAAACAAACTATTTTATGATAAAAAAATAAATTAATTGATGAAATATTCCAGCTAAGAAGGAAAGCGCTATGGAGAAACAGTTGAAGGAAGAAGAAAAGATTCTTGAGAGTGTAACAGAAAATAAAGCTTTAATGGGTGTAGCGGAATTGGCAAAGGGTATTCAATATGATGAGCCAATAAAGACTAGTTGGAGACCTCCAAGAGCAGTGCTTGCTGCAGGAGAAGCCCGGCATGAAAGAATTAGGAGAAAACTTAGGATTTTAGTTGAGGGAGATGATGTCCCGCCACCGCTGAAAAGCTTTAAAGAGATGAAGTTTCATAGAGGTATATTGAACGGTTTAGAACAGAAAGGTATTGTTAAGCCAACACCAATTCAAGTCCAAGGAATACCAACAGTGTTAGTTTACATTTATTTATTGTATAATTTCATTCATTTTTTTTTTTGTACTATACAAAATACTATACAAATTTTTCTTTTTATTGTAGATTATCTGGTCGCGATATGATTGGCATTGCTTTCACTGGTAGTGGTAAAACATTGGTATTTGTTTTGCCTATTATAATGTTTTGTCTAGAACAAGAAGTGGCTATGCCATTCATAAGAAATGAAGGACCATATGGTATGAAGATTACATTCTGATATTGTGGACAATAAAATACTATCATAATTAAAAGTATCATAATTTGCATCTATTATTTTCAGGCTTAATCATTTGTCCGTCTCGAGAATTAGCGAAACAAACTTACGATATTATTCGACATTATACGAATAGTTTACGACAGGCAGGTTGTCCCGAAATACGTAGCTGTTTAGCAATTGGAGGTGTGCCTGTATCAGAATCTTTAGAAGTTATTAACAAGCAAGTATTCTACTAGTAGTTTGATATTCGAATTTTCATTCTAATATTTCTGTTGCAATGTGTAATATCATTTAATATTTTACTACAGAGGTGTACACATTATGGTGGCAACTCCTGGAAGACTGATGGACATGTTAGATAAAAAGATGGTAAAACTTAGTGTGTGTCGTTATCTTTGCATGGATGAAGCCGATCGTATGATTGACATGGGTTTTGAAGAAGATGTGCGAACCATCTTCTCGTTCTTTAGGGTAAACATACAAACTTTACTACGATATTTTTTAATATATTAAAATGTTTGTACTATATTTGAGCATATTTCATGCAGGGCCAGAGACAAATGTTGTTATTCTCTGCAACTATGCCAAAGAAGATTCAAAATTTTGCACGTTCTGCTTTAGTAAAACCTGTGACAATTAATGTTGGTCGTGCAGGCGCAGCGTCTATGAACGTAATACAAGAAGTTGAATACGTGAAGCAAGAAGCTAAAATCGTGTATCTCCTAGAGTGCTTACAAAAAACTCCACCACCTGTACTGATATTTGCAGAGAAGAAGCAAGACGTTGATGCTATTCACGAGTATCTATTATTAAAGGGTGTTGAAGCGGTAGCGATACACGGTGGAAAAGGTACATTCAACTTTCATTGAAATATCATTTTATCAAGTATGTTACTCAGTATGTTTGAGTTGTGTAATTTTTCACAGATCAGGAAGAAAGATCGCGTTCTGTAGAAGCTTTCCGCGAAGGTCGGAAAGATGTGTTGGTTGCAACGGACGTTGCATCTAAAGGTCTGGATTTTGCCGATGTACAACACGTTATAAATTACGATATGCCAGACGATGTTGAAAACTATGGTAACTTAGTATGTTTCTGTTATGAGCTACCAATGATGAATTACTTAAGTAATAAATTTTGGTGTGCAGTGCACAGAATTGGAAGGACTGGACGTTCTGGACGGACTGGAATAGCGACAACGTTTATTAATAAAGCAAATGACGAATCCGTGTTATTGGATCTTAAACATTTGCTCATGGAAGCGAAGCAAAAGGTTCCACCATTCTTGCTGGAGCTTTGTTCAGAGAACGAGAAATATCTCAATTTAGGAGGTAAAATAATTCATTGTTATATTTATATCTTTCTTTTTTTTTTTCTATTAAAATGAAGAAACTAAACCATGTTATGTGTATGTTATTATGTTTTTTTCATTACATTTTAGACGAGCGTGGATGCAGTTACTGCGGTGGTCTTGGTCACAGAATCACAGAGTGCCCCAAACTGGAAGCTATCCAAAACAAACAAGCATCGAACATTGGACGTCGTGATTACCTGGCTAGCAATGCAGCTGATTATTAAATACGTAACTTCAAACGTAACTTTGTACATATTTTTGTAATGTTTTCTTTGTACAGTATTTTATTTTCTATTAGACGTCGATTTTGTAAATAGTACTGTGAAATTTGTATTTGTAATTAAAAAAAAAAAGAAAAATTATGAAAAATAAATACACTCTTTGTCTCTTTAAACGTGATGCTTTTATGTTTTCTCCATCTGTTAATTTGGCTGGTGATGCGTGAAACGATAATTTTTCAACGAACTTTTTATTCAAATTGAATCGAGCGATGATTCGAGAGCAAAATGGAAAAGGGGACAACGATTTTGCAAGAATCAAAAATAAAAAAGCTGAAGAGATGGAGGAGCGGCGAAGGTTGATGGAGAAAAGTGCCGAAAAGAAGCGGCAATTACGTCAACAGCACATTGAACGTAAAGAAACATTGGAAGCGGAGAAATTGCAACGCGCCGAGACAGCTACTGATCTGAAAATTCGGCAACTTAAACGCAGGCAACGACTAGCTGAGGAACTTGCACGTCGTAAACGTAAGGGCAACAATTTCTCTTAAAAATAAATGGATCACTATAAAGTTATTAATTATGCGTTTACTCACATGATGCAGACATCGAGTTGCAAGAATCGCTCAAGAGTAGAAAAATAAAATCTGCCACCCCGCGTAGTATGTCCGACGAGGTCTTCGAGAAGATACAAGCTGAAGTGATGGAAAAGAAAACGCAGGACGAACAGATACAAACTTCTAGCCCGTGGGATGTCAGCGAAGACTTCGAACTAAAGCAGCAGCAGAAGAAATTAAGTTACCAAAGGGATCTGCAAAATCAGATGATAGATAATCGACGTAGGCTGCGCGAGAAAGAAGAGGAGAAGCACCGCGAGCGAAAAATAATGGAGGAAGTTGGCGTGACGTTGCACGAGGAAAATTCGGAAGCGGAAAAGAGGAAGACAGGAATCGCTGCTTTGTTGCAAGCTGAGAGGGATGCATTTTTAAAGGCTCGACAGTTTTGGAAGGAAAAGAGGAGGGAAATTCTAAGGCAGGAGCACGACGAGACTGCGCGAATCATCGCCAAAAGGGAAGCTTTACAAAAGAGGGAAGCTGAAGGAAAGGTTCTACAAAGGCGTTGATTTATTTTGACACTTTTAATTTTATCTCGATGACGCGTTTTAGATTGACACCCAAGCAACGAAGGACAGTATGTTGGAGAAAATGATGAGCAAATTGATGGAGGAGGAACGTAAACGAGTGGAACGGGAAGAAATTTGCAGGGAATTATATTTGGCGGAGAAAGAACACGAACGTGCAAGCGAAGCGATTAAAGAGGCATCGAGAAAGAAACATACTGCGAGAGAACTTTTACAAGAAATGGTAAAATTGTGGTTGCATTGCATTACATTTTTTTCTCCGCATGGTTGTCGCGTGTTGTGAATAGAATAAATGATTATTAAATGTCGTGGAATTAATTAGGCAAGAACTCGGATAGCTGTGGCCGAAAGGAAAGCGAAGGAATGTGCAATCGATGCTGCTTTCACCAAGTACTTGGCCGACGAACAAAAGAAACAGGAGGAAAAGGAGAGACTAAAGGAGCGAACGCGACGTGAAAAAGGTATGTATATGTCGTCATTTATTGTTAGCACGAAAACGAGTAGAATTTACCACACATTTTATTTTTAGTTGCTCAGTATGGAAATGAATTGCGAGAGATTATAGAGCAAAATAAAATGCGACGCTCGAAGGAAACTAACATCGATGACGATGAGAAATGTAAGATCAAGTGTCATTCGGAGTCTGCTCTTGAAAAATTAAAGTCACAGGTGGTAAAGGACATGGTTCTGCCTTTATAAATAGCAACGCTGAAGATGAAATAAAATTTTTAATTCTACGGCTATTTATTGGTATACAGGTATATACATGATGATGCGCGAAAAACGTTGCTCTCGCGGCTCTTGCGGCTCTCGTCATTTATACAAAGTCCGTGTAAAAATACAGCAGCCCCATCTTATATCGGATATTAAGAGTACGTGATAAATTAACAGTCTCGCCTCGGGCGTGTCCAGTATCGAAAAATCGGACGGGAACAGCTAACTAACGAGTTTCGTTCTGCCGATCGGATTTTTCTTGGCAATCGAGGCAACTCTCGAGCGATCTCTCTTCTACCCTTTACCCCTTCCATTTACAAACGACTTCCAATTTAACGATCGTCATTGGGTTTAACATCAAAGAGATTACGTTTCAATTTCTTTCTTGCTTCTCTCTTTGTTCAATGTTTTCATGGAAAAAGAAGGGGTCGGAAGTAGCAAAACAAGCAACACTCGAGCGTTAGGAATGACTATATATATATATATAAGTACGAACGTTAGTTTTTTTTCTCGGTGACTGGCTAGTCGCCATAGTCGCTTACAAACTAATTTGATCGGTCGATCGTTTACCTCTCTTTTCAATGACGAGCAACTAAATTAACATACCTATCGTTAAAACTCATTGTATACTTGGAAACGGATAATATTCGAAAAAAAAAAAAAAAAAATAAACTCGTGCATTCCTGAGATCGTAGAGAGATATCCTCTTCTCGGAAGATCGTCGTTCAATAGATGATCGTGATGATCGTGAAACGTTCGAACTGGAATGTTACTATAGCTTCTCTATTTATCTTTTGTTCCTTGTTACACGCTATGTAAAATCTATGTCTCCATGTGTCGAATTGCATTTCGACGAATGACTCTGATATCTACGGGCTCTTCCTTTCAGCGAGCTGAAACGTCTGCCGAGAGAATTTCAAGGAAAAGTGTCCAAGCGAATAACGAGGGAATTAGGCGACATGGCCACTGGCTCAGAACCGGTCAAGTTCACGAATTTAACACAGATTGGTCTTAAAAGTAAAATCACAATTCCTTAAATAACCCATTCGCCTACGATTTCACTCGCTATTGTTTCCCGTTTTTTTTTCACTTCGGCGCAACTTTCTCACGCGTCTTCTTCTAACTTCTCTCGAGGAGAAAAGAGGCGGATGAAAGACAGAGAACTTTTCAATCGATTGAGAACGGTGTAGTAACATTAACTTTCCGTCTCGTTCGATAAATATCGGATTTTACACTACTAACGTGACCGCTTATACATAATATTAGGCCAATGGGTTAATTAAATATCAATCGCGTAAGACGAGATCGAAACGATCGAATCCTTTCTCAGTTTGGTGAGACTCGATCGTGACTCGCGCACGCGTACGTTGTATAACGTGTATATAAATTCACGTAAAAGTAAAATCACATATCCTTACGATTTAAGTACATGTACGCACGTATGTATACACACAAGCGGATTTGTTGTTCATTTGTTCGCAGCAACCGGAAAAATATTCTACTGGTTTTAAAATAAGAGGTGGGCAAACGAAGCGTGTCTCGATGGTTCTTTCGCGTTATGTTTCACAAGATCCTTTTAACGCGTGATTCCCTCTTGTACGATACGTTATAGCAGTATTTTTTTTTCTTTTTTCTTTTTTTAACAAACGAACAACGAAAAGATCGATCTTTGCCCACCTCCGTTCCTTAACGTTAACGAATCTGGTCAGAAATTTCTTGTTGCTCTTCGTCAACTCGAGACCAATCGTGATGCTTCTCTTCCAGCGTCTTAACGACGATACAAGCGTTTTGTAACGTATAATTCTCGCAAGTTTCTCCAGAAGTTCTTTCACGAAACCAGACAACACTTGCGAGCAATAAGATCTTCAGACGGTGGATCAAAGTAACTGAATGCGCCGGAGCAAACACCATTTCTATGGTGGCGGAATGATTCGAAGCAAATAACAAGTAACATTAACAAACGTTAGTGTAAGAATTAAATACGTAGATTACGTAGAACGAGCGAAATGAGAGGAACTTCAGACTCGAGTGCGTTACGGAGAAAAAAAAAAAAAAGAGATTCGAAGCGACTGGGAATGTTCGACGGGCATAGAATCGTTTCGACGTCGTTAAGCAATATTGACTAATAGCACCGCACAATAGTAATGAATGGTAAATCATCTGAGTACGATTAAACTACGATCGTTTTTTTTTTTCTTTTTCCTGTAGTAGCGTGGACAATCTCTGATAGACACTCTGAGAGAAATGCAAACTCATAGAAACACACAGCGGAGAACGCGTGTCGTTGATTCTCGTATCTCTTAATTACAGTCTCAAAAATATAAACAGCTCGACGAGAGTCTCGCCATCACTTATTCCATTGGAAATGCAAATAATCCGGCTGGTTTTACACCGCGGTTAGGAATTGCCGGTGAGTAGGAACCATGAGAATAGTACGTTAGATTAACAACAGCAAGTGCAGGCAGAAAGTAGCCAAGTTGACGACAAGTTGTTGATTTTTCAAAGAAACTTCGAAAGGACAGACTAGCTTCAGCTATCAGCCGCGATTTATATATTTCCCGAACGAATTTCTTTTCCTTTTTTGTCTCTTTCTTCTTCAGAGAAGCTTCTAAAAGATCACGAATTCGCTAGCAAGTCGTATGTCTGCTGACTTTCTGCTTGTTTCACGAAAAATCATCGCCAAAAAGGAAAAATCAAAAGAAAGTTCTCCTTCTGGATTGTAAGATTCTTTCTCCAAGTTTCGAACAGCGGTGTACGATAGGCACGATATAGTAACAGTTTTAAGTTATTTCTCTCTTTCACACCCTTTCTCTCTCTCTCTCTCTCTCTCTCTCTCTCTCTCTCTCGCACTCTTTCTTCCTTTCTCTCCCTTATTCGTCCGTAAATAAGACGATACATCACTCTGAAAGTCGCCTTTCGCATCGATCGAACGCTGATCCCTGAACTCGCTAAAAACTGCGATTGCAAACGAATCGGTGTGTGTCTCGGTCGATTTTTTCGGTGAAAGAACGAACGTTTCTGCGCGCTTTCCCCCCATCGAGAGGCGAAAATAGGTCTGCGATTTGATTTCCTTGTGCCGCGTCACGTGTCGATGCACAGTGCGTTAGTTGCGGTTAGTTTCTTTCTTTCCTTCCTCCCCTTTAAGTGAAATTTGGCCCCTTTTCTTTGGAAGAAGAAAACTTGGCTTGGATCGTTCAGCTAGCACTTCCATAGAACGCGGATCGTTTCGCGATCGTTTCGACTACTATAACAGCACACGATGATTCACGACGGTGAATTTGTCTTTTTTATTCCGAATGTACACGACAGACCGTCGTCTTATCTCTAGGAAGACGTGAAAAAGAGCGAAAGCGTACGCCGTATATGTATATGCGTGTGCTCCTCGTTATACGTACCGATAAAAAAATAAATTCCAGCACAGTAGAGAAACGGAAGAAGCTCATTTTGGGGTTGCGTCAACGTTTTACGAAAACACGCCCAGCAGCCATTAGACTAATGCGATAAAACGATTTGGTTCTTCGATGTTCGATTTCACTGATGATAAATATCTTCTTTTCTTTCTTTTCTTTTGATTTCTTTTTCTTTTTCTTTTTCTTTTTTTTTTTTTTTATTCCGTCGGACGTTCCTCGACAACGATCGACTCGAACTCGACAGTTTTTAATATTCATCATTAGCGAAACGAAGGCCGAACCACACGGGATGGCATGTAAAGGTATATTTCACCTGTGTACCTATCCTTGGCGACTTTGGCGGACGGGATTCTTCGACGCATCGATTCCTTCGACACGGGTCTCTTCTCCTAAAAAAGATTCTTCTATAATAAACGGAGATCTAAACGGTCTCTGACTTTATTTATCGTGGTCACGTGTCCGAGAAGAGAAACTCGCTCTCGGACAGCAGCACTTCGAGATCGGAAGGAACGGTATGGAGATCAGAATTGGCCGGTTCAGGTAAATCACCCGCACTGTTTCCGATTCCTGTAGGCGCTATTTGTCTGGCCCTGCCGATTCTGACTCTGTCCTTCTTTTTCGCCGTCCTTAACAGAACACCGGTCCGCGGAAGCTTCGGCCTGCCGGCGGCGTGCGTCGCGTTCGCCGCCACAGCGGGCACCTGCGCCACTTTGTCCGACTTTCGGAGCTTCACGCTGAACCTGAACGGCGGTTTGTAGACCACTTGCAGCTTCGCCCTTTCCTTTCTTGCCACCGAGTTCGCTGTTAGTTTCGCCTCTTTGGTCTCTGTGGGTCTTCTCAGAGCCACTTGCTGCTGCCTGGTTGCAGGCAGCCTGGCTCCTGCACCGGTCAAACCGACAGGCGTCGACTTGCTTTTCGGTAAACCGGCCGCGTTTCCGCTTCGGCCAGTTTCCGGTCGGCACTGAGACGACGCCAACAACCAGGAACGAACTTTGCTCTTGGGGTCGGCGTTTGGCTCGGTTTCCTTCTCCGCCTGTATCGCCGAGTAATCGATCACCTCCTTCTTGTGCTGCTTCTTGCGCTTCCTTTTCTCGTTGTCCGCGTTGCCCGAATTGCCATTGGTGGTCTGCTTGTCCCGGCTCGGGAACGACTTCTTCCTCTTGCTCTCTTGAACCGTCGCGGTGCTCGCGTCCGCCGATCTCTTTCTAGGAAGATCTTCAGCCGCGTTCGTCGCCGGCGTCCTCTTCGCCTGCGACTGCGACTGTTTCTTCTTCTTCGACGGATCCTTGCCGGTCTTGTCCGCGTTCCCGTGCGAGTCCTTATGCTTCCGGTGTCTTCTCTTCTCCCTGACCTTTCTGCTGAGCGGAAGCTTTGCGCGTACAGCCGGAGGGTGCACCGTCACCCCCTCCGTCCCCTCTGGCGGCAGACGCACCGTCTCCGTCGTCGAGCTGTGTATTATCGTGACTGACTTGAGTTTCAGGTCCGGTCGTTTGCCCAGCAATCGCATGCTCGCCACCTAAAATTCAAGGGAACAAGTCGTTAGTTTGTTAACATGACAGATAACCACGGTGCGGCGTGTTCTACCGTTGCGGGTGTTGACTTAGCGATGACAATCAACTACGATACTGATGACCGGTCAGCGTACTGGCCTATATAATCGCGATGGATTCATAATTAATGGAATTAAATACGACGACGTTCAACTAGCAAATGTTGCGGGTACTGTACTTGATGCCAAGAGTCTACATTTTCGTCTCATTCTAGACTTACTCTCAACACGTTTTTTATCAGCGCGGTTCCTCGATCGTCTCTGATGTAAAAATGATTTGCTATAGTATTATTTGGCGTTAGACAAATCTCTGCATTTCTCTGAAGAAACGATTCAAACTATGTTGTACGTAACAACGACAAGAGAGAAAATTGAACGAAAGAAAGAGAAGAAAGAGAGGGAGGAACATAAACTAATCCTTACCAATAGCGATACCGCAGCCAGAATGATCAATGCGGCTGCGTACCAGTGATCAATTATCCAACGACGGAATGTCGCTAGACTTTCGTCGGATAAGAGAAGTTTCCTCAAGGTTGCCAAAGGACCGCTTGGATCGACCTGATGAAATAATGAGCACATAAATAAGAAAACTCTAGATTCCCGCGTGAAATGTAAACTCTGACAAATAGGAGAAAATAAACCGCTGTTGGCGGTTGTTAATTATAAATGATGTCACGCACCTCTCGACATTTTTGGAAGACATCGCAGTATCCGTTGTAATCGTTGCACGGCGTTCCGGGCTTGGAGAACATATCTGGTATGTCATACGGCGGCGAGTTCCAATCGAAAGACGACCTACGCGCGTAACATCGATCATCGATACATATTTTATTTTTAACGTTGTGAAATGTAACATGTGCAGGGAGAATGCATGCGGTTTATTTTATAACGTACAGGCAAGGCTGATTTTCCCCGGGGAGACGACAACACAGCTCGCAGGCTTTCGTCGACGGATCATTTGGCCCTGGAATGCACTGGCAAGATTCCAATCCGTATGCAAGGCATATACTACCGGTGCACTCCTGCGAAACAAGAAAAAAAAAAAAGGGAGGACGGGGTAAACGACGTGAAGCACACGCTGAAAAACATTGGTTATCTGGATTCCTAAGCCGCTGGTGTGCTTACCCCCATGAAACACACGAATTCGCGATTGCAGATCGTCTTGTTAGGTTTGTTGATGGAAGGTGGACAGTACGGTGATCGACCGTCGCAGAAGCTCGCGTCGCGACATCCGTTGTCGTCTCTGCACTTGTCTCCGAACCGTAAATTGCACTCCGCGGTGCAACACGGACCCTGAAATTTGTAGCGAAAAGAGAAAAAATGTTATCAAGTTCAATGGAAAAATCGGGGAACGTATACAATTTCCGTATTGTACCGTATTTACCTGGCTAGGACTACAGATGGAACCTGGCGTGAGTGTGCAGGGTGTTTCACCCGGTGGTGGATAACGACGTTGCGGGAAGCAACACGAGTCTCTGCAATCCTCTTCCCATCCGCAATCACATTCTTCGCCCTCTTCGATAACGCCGTTTCCGCACAGCGACACTTGCGGTTCTGCAAACACACAGTTTCCCTTTAGTTTCCCCGCGAAGTAATTTGGCGTAGTAGTAGGTATTGTAAATATCAAGTATCGTCATAATTACGGTCGATAATTTTTGCTTTAAAATTTTCAGGTCTTCACGGAATAGACGGAAGGTGCTTAACGCATCGTGTGAGAATTATGGGAATATCGTTAAAATAACTTTCGATTGGGGAAACTATGACGGAACTATAACGTATAAATAATATTCCGCGAATATTCGATACTCGATGGGGAGAAGTAAGGGACGTAAAAAGCAGAGCCAGAGACTGACCGGTAAAGCAACCCTTCGGAGAACGAGCCTTGCTATTCAAAACTGGGTTTATGGCACTCAAGCTACACGGGCTGAAACGATTATTGTTTCGCTTGTCGCCGCTGGTAGCACGAGCGAACATAATGAAGTTTCCATCCTCTCCGCCGGGCGTGCATTGTTCCGGATCGTGCTGAAACAAAGTAAAGTGGTGCCTCGTGTTACGCGGGGTATCGACAGTCGTAGAAAAACGAGCAGAACCGAGCGTCAAGCTCGCCACGAGAAAACGTATTAACGTATTGCTATAATTATATAGATCGTGATACCTGCCGCCGAGAGAGGCGAGAGAACAAGACCTCAAGATCGTGTGTGATATACGTACGTACTGAGAGAAGAAGTAAATTCAAAGCAACGTACCGGCGAACCGAAGTTGTGACCGATCTCGTGGGCCAAAGTGACGTGAGAAACGGCAGGTGGTACGTGCTTGCCGTAATTCAGTAAAGTCACTATCCCGGTGTTCAGCGACTTCATACTGCCGCGATAGTGCTGCAAAGTTCACAGATCGTACATGTCAAGCCGTTCGGTTGATCATTCTGAGCGGAGATTTCGGAGGTTTTGGACTTTCGAAACGGGAAGATGGTTTTCGTCGATCTTTGTTTTTTTTTTTTTTTTTTGTTGTCGCTTCGTTTCAGATACTGTTCGAGACTGTTTTTACCATTATTCGGACGTATCGTTTTACTCGTGGATGTTAAAAATATCCGGGCAATTTGGCAGCGAGAATATTCGAGTGTATCAAATTGCCGATGAATTAACAATTAGGAGCAGCATTTGCCATCCGTTTGTGGAATCAACGGACCATAAATGTTAATTAGTTAATTAAAAGGCACAGTGTGCTTTAAATGTCATTTCAAGAAGGGAGAGACAAAATTTAAACAACATCGAGAACGCGAGTTTCATTGTTGCATATCAAGGGCGTTCAACTACATAGGTTAAAAACAAAGATTCTTTTATATATAGTGGGGTGAAAAATTGAGTCAATAACAAAAATTTGTAAGAAAAATATTTTTTATTGTTAAATAAAGTACAAAAATATGAAAATAAACTTGACTATCTGATTTTTTTATAGTTTTAGGAAACTGAAGCTATTTTTTAACTTTTAAGATTAGGTTTCTTCCTGGTTGAAAAAATAAAAAAAAAACATAGAATCAATTTTGCACCAGAATTTTTTCATAGTCAGATTTACAAGCTTTATCATGCCTTAATGTTTCGTTCATAAGCCATTTTGCTTAGATAATAGCTCTAATACGTCTTGGCATACTTTCAAACAGTTTTGAGCAGAAATCAGATGGCAGATTCTATGTTTTTTAATTTTTTCCAGCCAGGAAGAAACCTAATCTTAAGAGTTAAAAAATAGCAGTTTCAGTTTCCTAAAACTATATAAAGAATCAGATAGTCAAGTTTATTTTCGTGTTTTTGTACTTTATTTAACGATAAAAAAATATTTCTCTTAAAAATTTTTGTTACTGACTCAATTTTTCACCCCACTGTAGCTTACTCGATACTTTATACAGTAACTTACCCCGTTCTTTTCGCAAACTCCGCCAGCGTTTTTCAGATCGCCGGTCCACGCCAGCCCGAGCGTTCCCATCTCGAAGTCCCGATACGTGAACATATAAGCCAAGCAGAACGCGTCGTAATCCTCTTCTGCAACGAACAAGAATAGTCGGTTAGAGGATTCGTAATCGTTTCGGAAGATCGATCGACCGTTTCTTTTCACCGCGGGGGCAACAATCGGAGGCCGCCGTATCGTAACGCGAGGTATCGTTAGAGGGGAAAGATTTATTTACCGGAGAACAGCTCGAGATACTTTTCCACGCCGTAGTTGCCCGGGAATCGATAATTGGGATCTCTCAGCGCGTCCTCGCTGTGAACTTTCACACGTTTTATCATGAAGCTGATGTTGTCAGGCCTGCCATCCTGGTTGAAATCTAGCAACAGCAACAGAATCTCTTTGACGCGTTCGAGCACGGGGTCAAAGTCGGGGTATATTAATATCGTTCGCGAACAATGCCGGCAAATATCTCTCGTGGTCACTCTCGACCAAGAGTTTCTCACCAACACCGCTCGTAATAAACTTACGGCCGGGATCCCCTTGCAGGGGACTGTAATTAACATTATTAACGAAGTTTTACAAGTTACAACGTTCTGCTGAAGCTATAGGCAACAAGTCTGTTTAAAACATGCTCTGAAATGCTATTATCATGTTACTGTTGAAACACTATTGTTATCATTGGTAACAGAAATTAGCAGATGGTGTTACGTATGTGCAGAAAATAGTACGATAAAGTTCAAGGTTTCAAAAATTTCAGTATGATGTACTATGTATTAACTATGCTATGCTATGCTAATTATAATATATTATAATATATATTAACTATGCTATGCTATGCTATGTAATTATATTAGCTATGCTATGCTAATTATACTATACTATATACTATATGCTGACTAAAATAGTGTTTAAAACGTGCTGTGAAATACTATCATCATTGTTATCATTAATAACTGAAATTAGCATATAGTGTTACGTATGTGCAAAAAATAGTCCGATAAAGTTCAAGGTTTCAAAAATTTCAGTATGATGTACTATATATTAACTATGCTATGCTAATTATAATATATTATAATATATATTAACTATGCTATGCTATGCTATATAATTATATTAACTATGCTATGTAATTATATTAACTATGCTATGTAATTATATTAACTATGCTATGTAATTATATTAGCTATGCTATGCTAATTATACTATACTATATACTAGTATACTATATACTATATGCTGACTAAAATAATGTTTAAAACGTGCTGTGAAATACTATCATCATTGTTATCATTAATAACTGGAATTAGCACATAGTGTTACGTATGTGCAAAAAAAATAGTCCGATAAAGTTCAAGGTTTCAAAAATTTCAGCATGATGTACTATACTATGCCAATTATAATCTATTATAATATATATTAACTATGCTATGCTATGCTATGTAATTATATTAGCTATGCTAATTATACTATATCCTAGTATGCTATATGCTAAATAATGTTTAAAACGTGCTCTGAAATACCATTACCATTGTTATCATTAATAACTGGAATTAGCAGACAGTGTTACGTATGTGCAAAAAAATAATCCGATAAAGTTCCAAGATTCCAACACATAATATACTATACTACATGCCAACTGCAATATATAACTCTGACATACACACACTACAGACAGATTCAAATAATACTTCAAAGTTTCGACAGTTCTCTAAACGTGACTTCGCTCTTTCTTTCTTTTTTTTTCCTGCAAGTGACGTAACAAGCGTATTTTTCATATTAGACAAGGTTGACTGGCTACGCAAAGGTTAAAGATGCACTCGAGAATATCGGTTTAATGGCTGCTGAGAGACTCGTCAAAAGTGTTTCTCACGTCTGTGGCTGCGCAAAGGGTGCAAGAGGAACTTTACCAGTGTGCTTATAAATGGAGTTGACCCTTTGCACGTGTCTCGTCATCACCTCGATGCACGCCTCCTCCGTGCCGTATCTCGCGAAAAACTGATGGTCCGCCTGCAGATAGAGCATGCAGGTAGTTTTCCGCGGGTCCACGGTGGCACGTTTGTGCAAATGCCTGGCGATACGATCGGCGTCGCTGGCTCTGAAAAGAGAGAAAGAAAGAAAGAAAAAAAAAAAAGAAAAAACGTGAAAAAGCGGCCAGTCGCGAATTTCTTACGGTTGTTGGATAAAGCGGGCTTATCCCTTCGTAGTTCGAGTCGGCGGCGCTCGAGACCGGGAACTTCCGTTCCCGTGATTTTTACGATTCCGCGCAAAACGAAACGCAAACGAAACGGGGGGGAGGGGGGAAATGGAAACGTTTCACGGGGAAAGGAAGTAGCAGCGAGACCGTCGTTCAAACAATTCTCCTCGGATCCGACACTCACGTTTCCATACGTGCCGCGCTCTTATCTCTCTCCGTGGTTAAAACCCGTGCGCCGTTTTCCTTCGAGTAGAGAGCTTGCCTCTCGCCGAGCAGAGGTTCGTAAAGCGTCCGAGAGTCGTTCGCATAACCGTGCTTGCCCCTGGAAAAGAAAGAAAAAGAGAAAGAATAAAGAGACGATATTTGCGGATGCGATTATTGCGCTCGTTGCGCACCGGAGCCCAACGTCGTAGAGCGTAAGGAAATTATGTTAATTACTCGCGGGAAGGTGAGCTTGAAATTGAGCCGTTCAGCTCAACGTTTTTCTTCCCGCGTGTATTCTGCGTTTCCAGATAACTCTGTAACTTCCGAACATACGAAACAAATCGCGTAATCGAAATTAAATTCGATCGAAGATGGAATTAAATCCCGGCGTGCGTACGAGTTTTTCTCTAACTTCAAGGTTTCACGCTTGCACAACATTTCAATTCGTCTTTCATCCGGGCAAACGTTCAAAACGAAGCGTCAAATCGAAACAAACGTATGCTGTCTTGTACTCTCGCGTACGATCGTCCATTTCTGCAGCACGATCTGGAACATTCTGCACGCCTGGACACTCCTGGATACTCCTCGCGAGACTCGCGGTCTGGCTCCGCGCTTAATTACCAACGATTCGTTCGGGGAATGTTTGAAGGTCCGCGGTTTGAAGCTCGTTAGATCTCTCGTGGCGTCGGTCTGTCTACGTATGCCAGCGAATAATGCGTCGTGGAAACTGGTAACGAAATTAACGCGAGGAAGGAGCAGCCGGTGTTCCGAGTTGATAAACCTCAGACGGCGCAGACGTTCGAGCAACGGAGCTGTCTCTCGTTAGATCCATTTTCATCCTCGGTTAACGTAACGCGATTTGCCCGGGCTGTTTTAGAGGCGTTATCCTGTTACATTAACGAGCGAACGTTTACGACGAGCTCTGAAAATCTGCGCGTTGCATCGCCACGCGTTCGTCCCTGCTAGATTCGTCTATAAGTTGTCACATTGGATGAAACTGACATTTTCCAGCGAGGCGAACATTCACCGACGAACAAATATCGAATCTTTGTTCCGCAAGTGTGTTTCGCGTGTACGTAATAATTTGATCTTTATTAGTATTACTTTATTTATTTATTAATATTATTTTATTATTAATATCTCGTCAGTTTTCCATCCTTTCTTTTTTTTTTTTTTTGGACTTAATTTGTCCTTCACCTCCCTCCTTGTAAACAATTAATGTAATGAAAAGATAAAATTTGTAGATTTTTGTTATTCTCTGTATTATCAACTCTCATCCGTTTTTCATCTTTTCTTTTTTTTCTTCTTTTTTTTTTTTTTTTTGATTTAAAATAAATAGTTAAACTCGCAGATTCTTATTATTCTCTATTAACAGTAGATGGTAAACTAAATTTCTATTTAATTATAAGAGTTCTACTTTCACAAAGATGTATGCAAGTGTCCAGTTGCCTTCTCTAGTTTCGTGACAACAATGATCGTTCATTTCGAATTTTCACTTGTCACGATTACATTGAAAATCATATATAAATGCTTGCTTTATTGACGAGAATGATCTATTATTAGATTAATTAGAAGGCAATGCACTGCTTGCTCTAACACGAATATTATTCGCAATTGTATTTTGTTATCAAAAATATATATGCCATGCATTAGAGAAATAGTTACAAAGCTTCACCACCGTGCTGCAGAATGATAATAACATTTTATACGAAAAAGAACGGTCATTACCATAACAACGCTGCTGTGATGTCATTCTCAACATTCAACATTCAGCAGATTAATGTTGAAATCTGGTGACACGTGTAAACTGTTACACCGTGTAATTTCCGTTTCGCAGTTATAAATATTTAATAAAATTTGATGAAAGTTACTCGCAAACATAGTTGGTTATTATAAGTTGTAAATTGTAAGTTACGCAAACACACACACACACACACACACACACACACCTTTACGTCTAATAATTTTACAACTTTACACGTCGAACAGGATAATCAGGTGATGTACTTATTATCCGAGATAATCCATGAATCGTTCACCTTCGATTCCAATGTGTCAGAAAATAACTCACCTTTCCGTAGAATCGTGAGAAGCGGACTGATGCAAGTGGTGACTGGCGCAAGGCAACGATCTACGTGGCGTTAGTACGTCCGAGGCGCGATAAGCTATGCTGTGATACGGCGGAGACGTGTTCTCCTCCTTGTTCGAGTATCTGTTCGTCGGCTCGATGTAGTATTCCTCGAATCCGGTAACGACAGTGCCGTCGAAAAGCCCGTCCTCTGTCACGATGCCTTGCACCATGGCATTTTCGTCCTCTGTAAATTGCGATTTTCAAATGAGAATCAACGTTACGGCACAAACGTGTACTGGGGATCATGGCTAGAGCTAACTAATTGGTCGTAATATTAGTTCGTTCTAGCATATACAGGGTGTTTCGTAACTTGTGGGAGCTGATTGTACGCTTAAACATAATGAAAAAACGTCATATAAATATATGTCCTATCTGTCTTCGTTTATGAGATATAATGAATTTTCTGTTTTAATTACTTTTACAAAAGATGCTCGAAATGAACCAGCTTGCATTTGAAGACAAGCCTGCACGCGTCTTGTCATTCATCTGGTTACTCTCTCTATCATTCCTGGTGTTTCTCGAGTTTGTCGGAAGCCTTGCTCTATTCGATTTCGTAGTATTTCAGCATTTTCAATCGATGTTGCGTATACAATAGATTTTAAATGTCCCCGCAAATGAAAATCTAATGG